TGTTCAAAATTTATAACTGAATTAATTTAAAAATCAATCATTAATATATTTTTTATGTATATAAAATATTATATATAAGCCAATGTGCATATTAAATTATGCATTTTATAAATATAGGGTTTTTTTTAAAATGGGCCTTATGCATAACGTGTTTATGACAATAGATCTCTTTATAATTTTAACTGTTTTTAGCCAAGAGAATTAAAATTTAGATAAAATTATCCTTAATGAAATTGACCCATTTGTTTGGCTCCGTGCCTTAATCCGAAACCTATTAACTGGTCAAACATGTTTAGGTCTATGCCTTAAATCGACTCATATTCTTTGAGCTTTTATTGTTAGATCATTCATATCTGGAGTATTTCTTAGTAGAAAGAAAAATGTTTAAGCATTTTGAGCATTTTGAAGTAATTTTTGATACACGAAGAAATCTTTAAAGGTTTTGAGCATTTTTAAGTATTTTGAAGTGATTTTTGATATATGAAGAAAAACCTTTGAACATTTTGAGTATTCTTTGTCAAGTAGACATATTTGTTAATTATGTTGTTAAATAGAATATGGTATATCGTTTAAAGTTGTTGATCTTGTTAAATGAAATTTAGTAGTGTTGGTGGTTTTTAGGTATTGCATGATTAGTTTTTAAGCATTACATGGTTGACTTTGGGTATTGCATGACTAGTTTTTAAGCATTACGTGACTAATTTTTAAGTATTGCGTGATTGATTTTAAGCATTGCATGATTAGTTTTTAAGTATTGCGTGACTGACTAGTTGATAGGCATTTCGTGACTTGTTAATAAGGCATTGCATGACTAGTTAGTAAGGTATTGCGTGACTAGTTAGTACGACATTGTGTAACTTAAGTATTGCTTAAAAATCAGTCATATAATACTTAAAAATTAGTTACACAATGCCTAAAATCAATAACGTAATGTCTAAAACCTAATTACATAGTGATTAAGTCACGTAATGCCTAAAAACTAGTCTCACGATACATAAAAATCAATCTAATCAATTTTAACTCCTCAACTTTGAGGTTCTATAAATAAATCAATAAATTCAAGAACCTAAAACACATATTTTTTTTTTGCTAAGCCATGAAATTGTGTCTTTCATAAAAGACAAGTTACAAAACTCCATAACCCTCCAAAGTAAGAAAAAATATATCCCTATCGAAAGGGCTTTGCTCACTCCTCTTATGCAAAAATAAAATATATTCTCTTAACAAATATTCCCTGAACAATTTCAACTTAAAATCTCATAAAAAAAATTAAAATCCCCAACAAGCATGTTTAACAATCATTTCAATCTCAGACACAACAAAATCGTGAATCATCATAAACCCCATCAAGCATGCTTTAGCTGTTTCTTCTCCCTGAACCCATCATATTTACTAGTCCGATCCAACTCATCAATACAGGCATTTCCATTGCATCACGAGTTTCAAAGCAAGTCATCAGAAAGCATCCAGTTACCACATTCATCATATTGCTTGCAATTACAATAGAAGAACAAAATCATTGTTCATCACCTTTGAGAACCCCAAAATCTATCATCCAAAAAAATAAAACAAAATAAGAAGGAGCTTGATGTCATCTCTACTCTTTAAATGAAGAGATAGATAATATTTGACCAGAGAGAAAATCAAAATTTAATTTTAAAATTTTTATCTAGATGACGAGATAGAGAAAACTAAAACTATTTTAATTTGTCTGAAATTGTTTAAAAGATATTATCATCAAGTAATGTCAAAATTTGATTAAAAATAGTTAAAATTATAAAAACTTATGAAAAAGATTATCTCTCACAAATTTATATATATATATATATGTACACTTTGCATGTAAGTTTGTACTTTTTTTTTTTAACTTTTAAATGTTAAATGAATGATATGAGTAAAAATAACATCTTATACATTAGTTATTTTTTAGTGATGACAAGACAACATATTGATCCAGTCAAAGATAACATATGCAAAAGGACAAAAAAGAAAAACATGGCAAAGATAACAAGACTGATTGAGTTTGAAATATTGCGAATTTTGCATTCCATTAAACATATATATATATTAAATTATAAATTTAATCTTATACTTTTTTGAAGTGCTGTTAAATTTGATTTTTATATAATAATTTATGTTTCTAGTATCTACATATTGATATGATTTGACTAAATTAATGGATTGTTGATCAAGTTAATGTGACATTTTTTGTTCACGTGACAAACAAAACTAGCAGTATTCTAACTCAATGATGCAATTGCAAAACTATCATACCACATCGCATCATCTCAATTATATAATAATCTCAATTCTAACTATCTAAATTTGATACTATATAGTATCAAAATCTATACCAAACCATTGCAATAAAAACAAAAATCTATACTCTTGTTTTCAACTTCAAAAGCCATTGAAACAAAAACCAAGTCAATGGCTAATAGCTTCATATATGTCATGCAAAAATAAAAAAAAATTCTATAATTTTAAAGTTTGAATAGCTTCATTTATGTCATTCCAAGAAATAATCATGCATCTCGTGATAAGATTCTCATGTTGAAGCTTTTTCTTCTCTTTCTTGGTTCTAGTTGCAACATTTTCTTGCGTTGAGTATAAAATATTGAATCAAATATATTTAAAAATGAGTACAGAATATTGAAAAAAATGAAGATAAAGTAATTATTTACCTACAAGTTACGTTGAGTCGAGATAGTCCATTGTTAGGGTCTTGGTATAAACTAATCCTTTCTTGATGTGGCCATGTTTTTTGTTGTTTTTTTCTCTTTCTTGTTGGTTCGCCAGTTTTCTTCAGGCTGAAGCACAATCTATCATTAAACCAGATTGCTCTCTTAGTAACAGTACCAATATTAACATAAAGAACTTAAAATTTCATATCTAGATAACTTGTTAGGATTTTTACTTGCTGTATACGTATTAATGTCAACAAGAAGTTGTTCTTTTGGTGTATTTTTGCCCATTGTTCTCCTATTTTGAGGCCTTATTAACTTAATTATGGTTTCAAATTAATGGTTTATTACATCAAATTTGATTGCAAAAAAAAAAAGAACCTCTGATTTTGAAGAAATTGTTCAGTTTTATCTTTGCTTCTAACCATTTTTTTTTTGAAAGTTGTAGAGCTGATTTTTAGTTGCTAGCCTGGTCTGTGCTTTTGGTTATCTTTCCTTCGCTTAGGTTTTTTGAGGTGTTTTTTAGCTATGTTAAAAACAATAATTGTGTGTTAATTCACTAAATATGGTTATAAGCTAGTGCATTTAGTTCTAAGCTCTTGGTTTTTGCATACAGATATAGTATCAGAATCACACTTAGTAAGTAACCTGTTACTAGCTGGTTCATGAACTTCCTGCACAGAAGAAAAAAACAGGATAGGTTCACAAAAATGTCAAATCTATTCCAGATCCTCTTCAGTAATTTCCCAGATTTCTCCTCTTGTAACCTTACAATTTCCAAAGATAAACATCAAACTGCATGGTATGATGTGTTGAAAGAAAGGATTAAACAGAAGGAGCCACTATAAACTATATTCATCTGGAGAACACATATTCACAATTACACAAGCAACAGCCTATGTTGAAGTCGATTAAACAAAGAGCAGAGACAGATGTGGATGAACAAGCATCAGTTGCCAGAAGTAAATACATTGAAGTCGATTCAACAAAAAACAGAGATAGATGTGGACCTGAAGGACAAGGGACATTATTAATATTTATACTTCATCGGTGATTTGGAAGAATTTAAGCTTGATGTCAACAAACCAGCGACAAAATGTACCTAGAAGCATTTTTATGTATTAGAAAGTATTAACTTTGCTTCAGATATGCTTCAGATAAATCATTACCTCTTAGTAACTAGAAGTTCAAGGATGATATGATGTAAGAAATTCTTCCAGTGGTGGAAACAGATAGGGTCTCCCAAAAATGAAACAAACCAGTCTTGAATCTTGATAATAAACATCTCCGCTAGATGTATGACTGACTCTTATCAATGCCACTGCTGTTATTGGCATTGTTAGCCCTAAGCTCAACCATGGCTGATCAACAAGTTAATATTGTAGGAACTGTGCGCGTTTACATCTGGTATCAGCTTGCTACACCGGACTGCCTGATATTAGGCTTTTGCCAAGGATTACAGAGTTGACTAAGATGGAAAGACTACGAAATCTGAGGATGAGTCTTGATTTGTACATATCAGTAACAATTCCGCTTTTGTACTTTGTTGCTGCACTTCTATTTTTGAGGTTTCTATAATTTAACTATAATACAGTCATTCAGCCCTGAATTCAGCACTTAAAAACTTCTTTAAAATTTAAGTTGTCACAGCCCACATCATAGATGAGAAAAGAACATGTCAGATTTCAAATGGAAATGGCCTCAAGCATTTTATAATTCTCCAAATCTAGACCAGGTTGCTTTGTATATTTCACTTACGCTCGTTGTGACATGAAATTACATTTATTGTTGGATAATTTGTTCTTAAAAACGTAATTACTCCAAATAAAATCCACAATTTCACAAACAAGGAAGAAGGGTAAATGTACGTATTAACAACATTACCTTTAATTTCTACATAGCATAAATTCAGAACTACTCACAGTTCATACAAGAACATGGTATCACACACAATTCGTACAAAACCCTCGGCCGAGACAGATAGAGACACTCACTTGGTAACTCACTAACATTTTTGTTTTCCAGTTACTTTGAGTAATCTGTCGCAGGAGAGAAAGGCCTTCAAGAAAGAGGAGGTGAAAGTCGAGATTGAAGATGACAGGTTGCTCCAAATAAGAGGAGAAAGGATCGTTGAGAAGGAAGACAAGAACGACACCTGGCACCGGGTTGAACGTAGCCGAGGCAAGTTCATGAGGAGGTTCAGGTTGCCGGAGGATGTGAAAATGGATCAGGTTAAGGCTTCCATGGAAAATGGGGTTCTTACTGTAACTGTTCCTAAAGAGGAATTGAAGAAACATGAGGTCAAAACCATTGAGATTTCTGGTTAAAATCTTAAACAGTTTTGGTGTATGCAACTATGTAGTATTGTATACATCATTGTGATGTATAATACTGTAATCTACTAAAGTAAAATTTTCTTTACTTTAATGCACTTGTCATTTCGTTTTGTTTTCTCTAATATTCTTTGCAGCTTCAAAGAGGTAAGACCTGACAATTCGTCCCAACCTTGAAAACCTTTTTAAAGAATTTTTAAAGATTAGATTGAGAATTGACTTTCAAGTCATGAACAAGGAGCACCAAGAATGGAAAACAAAGAAAAACACGCCAATTAGTGTCAATTAATTTATGTTAAAAGCTGAGATTTTTGCCTTTGGTTTTTTCTCCTTTTGTTAGTCTTTTCATGTATTTTTCAGTATTGTTTTAAAAACATTAATTTTGTGTTAGTTTTATTAAATATGATTATGCAATGGTGCTTGCAATTTTAAGTTTTTTGTTCTTGCATACTGGAATAATATCAGAATAACGAAATAATAACAACTAACACAGTACCAAAACCGATGTTATAATAAACAAAAAACAAAAAAGGTATTATGCTCGAAAAAATTTCCGAAGTATTTAAAAAAAATTATTTTTAATATTATGTCAATTTAAATAAATGTTGTTATGCATTCTTTCTTGAGTATTGGATGATAATCTTGGTTTAAAACTATTATTAACTTTGATGTTTCTGAAATTCTCATCCAAAATATTCACCAAAAACCATAAAAGACTAAGAACTTAATTATACCATATGAAAGCTGTCATATATAACTCATACAGCAGCGTAGATGATGGCTTAACAAAGGAAAGCATGCATTGCTAATTAAGAAAATTAAACTTCCACCAAATTGCTCACTAACTGCGCTGTACATATGGAACACTTATTTAGCAGCCAAACTAGTTTTATTTAAGAGTAGATTATACGTCCACTTTTAACCAATCATGGATGTTTTTCTGAAACTTTGATGAAGAAACCATTTGTAAATTCCAAAACTGGTGTACGGCCCACATCTCCTCCCCTGATCTTAGTGAACCTATATTAAAACATCATATATATAAGAAAAGAGAGTATATTAGATATACTTATTATTGTCATATATAATTAAATTATAAAAGTATTGTAATATTGTTTCGAGTATGATCATAATTAAAATTAATGAGCATTAGCTTTCTTTGTTGTTTAGAAAAAAAATCAAGAATACATATATGCAGATTAATCACTTGGTACAATTTTAATTTGACTACATACTTTAATATATGCACTAAATGGTGGATTAATAGATATTTTATAAAAAATGAGAGATTAATTAGAATGTAAATTCATAGCATATATAGTATATATGATTGATAAATTAGTAGAAAAGTAAATAATCGTAAAAGTAAAAATTAAATAGTAGTATAATAAAGATATAAACCTGTATTTGGTAACCCAAACATGTAAAAGGACTGCCATCAGAACCTTGCTGAACTCTGCTCCTGCACATGTCCTGTTCCCTCCTCCAAATGGTATGAAGTTCTTCGCCGTCGAAATGCCTCCCATGTTCTTTAATTATAAGATTTGTGAGAAAAGAGAAATATTACCTTATTACAATTACTAGAACTTATAGAAGTCTCAATCAACTATAGGAATACTTTTATTTTCTGCTATATTTGTGTTTATATGTGTTAATTAAGGTTCTGTTCAACTACGGAGTAACGATTTTTATTTTAAATTTTTATTAAAAATTAAATTTAAATAAAAAAATAAAAATATATGTCAAATGAATTGATTACAAATTTAATTAAGTTAGAAAAGCTTGGAAAAAGATGTAACATTAACATATATATATATATATATATGTTATCACTTTCAAAATATATATATATATATATATATTATTTACCTTCCATCTTGAAGGATTGAAAGTAAGAGGATCTTCATATGTATTAGGGTTAAGTTGAAGTGCTGCGGGCACAATCAAAAGGTTCCAACCTTTCGGTATAGTATAACCTGCAATAAAAGAAATAGTCCATCCATCAAATTATGTGTTTGCAATATATTTAACCATACAAAATAAATAGATCAATTTAATTATAAAAAAATAATTATACCATTAACATGAATATCAGTTAGAACCCTTCTCACGATTCCAGGAGCAACACTTCCTAATCGAAGTGCTTCATTAATGACCTAATAACCAAAAAAATATTAAATGTAACTTCCATAGAAAGATTTCAAAGAGGAATCAATTTTCCTTTCTTGGAAAAAGTTGCCAAAATTGGTAAATAACTCACGTAATGAGTAAAAGTCATAGATTTGTATTCCTTCCATGAAAGTCCATGATTGGTGCTTTCTCTTTTCTTTAGAATTTCCTCATGCTCCTCCTAATCAAATCATACCAAAAAAAAAAAAAGAAAAAAGAATCAAGGTTTTCTGCATAAAACGATGAAAATTTTTGCAATATAAAAATGAATCATTTGATAATCTTATTTAGGTAATTAATCACTAACAGTTAATTGTTGCAATGCTGATGGGTTGTCCAATAAACACTTAATGGCTAAAGCAGTAGTAGTGGAAATAGTCTCAACGCTAGCAAGGAGGAGACCAAACATAACGTTGACGACGAATTCCTTAGTCAAAAATTCTTCTTTTTCCATGTCTTCCACTATTTGGCCAAGAAAATCTCCTTTATTGCAACCTTGGGAATAAGACTTCCTTCTCTCTTCTAGTAGCTGAGACATCAGTTTTACTGCTTTTCGTTGAGTCTGCATATGTGTGTGTATATATATATTTAGTTGATGATACTATCTTTTGAAGATTTTAAAATACTGTAAAATTTAGAAGGTTATAGCAGGTGTAATAAAGATGATTAACCTTTATACATTTGTAGAAAGCAGTCCCAGGGATGTACAAAGGGAATGTCATAAGTCCTTGCAAGAAGCTACATAAATATTCACTTAAATTTTCCTCAGATTTTTCCGATTCATAACTCATCAGAATCTTTGAAGTAAATCCAAATATCATCTGCAAAATGAGATAAAATTAACAAAAAAAAAGAAAAGAAAAGAACTAGGTACACATCATAATAATAAGTCAGCCTTGGTTTAGCCGTTTGTACCCTTGCTCCCCAAACAAGTGTCTATAAGGTTCATATTGTTTCATTAATACTGTTAATATTTGACTATGAACTGTATTTGGTTACGATAAAATTACTTACAGCAGCACTTTGGTTTTTCACAGCTACCTCTGTCTGCTTTGTCCACTCATGCAATCCATGGTTTATGACATTTTCAGCTTGACACAGTAGCTTTTCTTTGAGAGCCTCAGGGCCAAAGTGACTCAGAATTGCATGCCTGAGATACTTGTGCACATAACCACCTTCATTTACGTTATCTTTGAGAACCAGGTTCGCAAAGGAATCCATATAATATAGTTCCACAAGTTTTTCTTCTTGTTGGAGCACGAAATAGTTGAAATCAGGATCTGAGGACACCACTACTGGTTGACCTGCTAAACTTGTCTTGAACAATGGACCGTATCTAGTAATTGAGAAATAAAGGATTTAACAACCAATATTTATATACAAAACAATAGTTTAAAATGATAAAAAGTTTTCAATTTTTGCATGTTGAATGATTAATTACCTCTTCATTCTATCCTTAATAAAAGGATGGATGTCTATGGACCTGGATGTCACAAGAAAATTAAGGCTCTCCCCTATAAGTGGAAGTCCCATGGAACCTGGAGGTAGTCTGCCATTACAGCTGGGGTTCCTCCACCAAGAAATCCAAGTTGTCACACCTACAACAAGGAAAGGGATGACAAAATACCAAAGAGACCACACCTCCATTGGATCACTCAAGTGGGAAAGAAGAATGAGAAGAGAGCACGAGTAACAGACAGCTAAAGGGGGTTGCAATTTGTCTTTGGTTTTGTGAAGAGAGTGCTACTCCTTATATACAAGTCCGTGATGATTTCGATGTTTGTTAATTGACAGTTTTCTCCCTAATGGATCGAATTATTGTTCAAAAATATGGATATATTGATCAAGCTTTAATTACTGTGTAATTAGTCAGACTTTTAACAGTGTAGAGTGTGATTAGTCAAAGATAATATGATTTTTTATAATATTGCTTCAAACGAATAACGTCACGCCATTGCTAAAAGCAATAATTGGTTGAATTTATTTATTAATATACATGTTATTGATGGTTTGAATTCATAATAGATTATATTATTTTTTTTGAAAAGTGGTTTATATCAACCTCAAATCAATATGAATTTCTAGCTTATATTGCAAGAGATTCTACTGCCATAAACATTGGTGAGAGTGAATTAAGTCTCTACAATTTCAATAGATTATACTAGTGGTAAAAGAATTTAATATACATTAATGTTGCAAACAAGTTATTGAATTTAAGGAAAAAAAAAGTCATTGAATTCAAAACAATGTTTTGAAAGTTTGTTTGAAGTATAAAATCAAATTTTTACCTTGAAAAAAGAAAGAAAGAAAATCCAAAATGTGCAGCAAATACTTTGTTTCTTATATTTTCTTTTATAACTAAACTCTATTTGTATAAAGTGAGTATTAATCAGTTTCAATCAAATAAATCGATTGAAATTAATTGAATTTAGTTAATTCAATTTGATTTGTTTGAATTTTGTATTAATCAATTAATTGATTTAATTTATTCGATTATTTTAAATGATTTTCAGTGTTCAAAATTTATAACTGAATTAATTTAAAAATCAATCATTAATATATTTTTTTATGTATACAAAATGCTATATATAAGTCAGTGTGTATATTAAATTATGCATTATATATATATATATGTACACTTTGCATGTAAGTTTATACTAACTTTTTTTTTTCACTTTTAAATGTTAAATGAATGATATGAGTAAAAATAATATCTTATACATTAGTTATTTTTATCTTTTAGTCGTGACAAGACAACATATTGGTCAAGTCAAGGATAATATATGCAAAAGGACAAAAAAGAAAAAAAGAAAAAAAGGTGAAGATAACAAGACCGATTGAGTTTGAAATATTGAGAATTTTGCATTCCACTATATATATTAAATTATAAATTTAATTTTATACTTTTTTTAAGTGTTGTTGAATTTAATCTTTCTATAATAATTTATGTTTCTAATATCGTACCTATTGATATGATTTGACTAAATTAATGTATTGTTGATCAAGTTAATGTGACATTTTTGGTTCACGTGACAAACAAAACTAGCAATATTCTAACTCAATGATGCAATTGCAAAAATATCATACCACATCTCATCATCTCAATTATATATAATCTCAATTCTAACTATCTAAATTTGATACTATATAGTATCAAAATCTATACCAAACCATTGCAATAAAAACAAAAATCTATACTCTTCTTTTCAACTTCAAAAGCCACTGAAACAAAAACCAAGTCAATGGTTAATAGCTTCACATATGTCATGCAAAAATAAAAAAAAAATCTATAATTTTAAAGTTTGAATAACTTCATTTATGTCTTGCCAAAAAATAATTATGCATCTCATGATAGCATTTTCATGTTAAAGCGTTTTCTTCTCTTTGCTGGTACTAGTCACGACATTTTTTTTGTGTTGAGTATAAAATATTGAAACAAAGTGAGTGTAGAATATTGAAAAAAGATTAAGTAAGATAAAATAATTTTTTACTTACAAGTTACATTGAGTTAAGATAGTCAATTGTTAGGGTCCTGGTATAAACTAATCCTTTCTTGATGTGGTTACGTTTTTTGTTGATTTTTTTCTTTCTTGTTGGTTCACCATTTTTATTCAGGATGAAACACAATCTATCATTAAACCAGATTGCTCTCTTAGTAACAGTACCAATATTAACATATAGAACTAAAAAATTTCATATCTAGATACCTTGTTAGGATTTTCACTTGCTGTATAAGTATTAGTGTCAATTTAGCCCATTGTTCTCCTATTGCGAAGCCTTATTAACTTAATTATGGTTTCAAATTAATGGTTTGGTCACATAAAATTTGATTAAAAAAATAAAAGAACCTTTGATTTTGAAGTTGTTGTTCAGTTTTATCTTTGCTTCTTTTCAATTTTTTTTTGATAAAATATTTTGATCTTTTTAAATTTTAATTAAAATTACATGAAAATTTTTTAGTTTTTGAAATGAACATCTCGTTTTAAAAAATTATTTTTCGTTAAATACGTAAATCTAACCGTTAATTAATAGTTAATATTTTTATTAACTTGCTAATATGACAAGAGTAAAAAATAATTTTACTTTTATTAATTTTTATAATTATAATTATATAATTTTATTATTTTTTATTTATATATTTTTTAAAAAGCTCCCCATTGGGGAGCACCGGAGCTCCCTTGGGAAGCTTGATCTGGGCTCCCTAAAGGTTCATCGGGTTCCCCAAGAAAGCGGGGGAGCTCAACTGGGGTTCCCAAGGGAGCGCTGATCTGGTGCTTCGGTTGATGTTTCCCTTGCAAGGGGAGTTGAGGAGTGCTGGGGAGCATGGATTAGTGTTTTTTATTTTTTTATAAAAAATATAATAATAATTATTTAAATTAATAAAAAAATATTTTAATTTTTATTATTTTTATTAATAATATTTATAGTGTTTAGACAGAATGTTTATTTTAAAAATTATGAATTTTTGTATAATTTTTATTAAAATTTAAAAGATAAAGATATTTTATTTTATTTATTTTTAGCTGGAGAGCTGATTTTTTTGTTGCAAGCCTGGTGTGGGGTTTTGTGCCTGTGGTTTTCTCTCCTTTGCTTTGTTTTTTTGAGGTGTTTCCAGCTTTATGTTTTAAAGACAATAATTGTGCGTTAATTCACTAAATAAGGTTAGCCCTAAGCCCAACCAAGGCTGATCACCAGCTCACCAAGTTAAAATCGTAGGAACTGTGTGCGTTTTCATCTGGTATTAGGCCTTTGTCAAGGAACACAGAGTTGACAAAGATCGGAAAAATGAAATCTGAGGAGAGAGGAATGAGTTTTGTTTTGTACATATCAGTAACAATTATGCTTTAGTATTTTGTTTCTGCGCTTGTTTCTATAATTTAAGTGAAATTCAGTCATTCATCCCTGAATTCAGTAAGAAGAAACTTCTTTAAAATTCAAGTTGTCACAAGCCCACATCATAGATGAAAACAGATCATGTCAGGTTTCAAATGGAAATGGCCTGAAGCATTTTATGATTCTCCAATTCTAGACCAGGTTGCTTTGTATATTTTACTTACGCTCGTTGTGACATGAAATTACATTTATTGTCGGATAATTTGTTCTTAAAAATGTAACTGTCCAAATAAAACCCACAATTTTACAAACAAGAACAATATTTCTTTTATTTTCTACATAGCAGAAGTTCAGAACTACTCACAACCTTCTTTGTTTTCCTAGTAAAGTAGTTACTTTTGAGTAATCTGTCGCAGGAGAGAGAGGCCTTCCAAACTCTAACTTTAATTTTTAGCCTGAAATCTCAATTCTCTTAATATCAGGATTTTTCACCTCCAGTTTTGGAACAGTCACAGTAAGCACTCCATTTTCCATGGAAGCCTTAATCTGATCCATTTTGGCATTCTCGGGCAATCTGAACCTCCTCATGAACTTGTCACTGCTACGTTCCACACGATGCCAAGTGTCGTTCTTGTCTTCCTTCTGTATATTCCTCTCTCCACTTATCTGAAGCACCCTGTCATCTTCAACCTCCACCTTCACTTCTTCTTTCTTAAACCCTGGAAGATCAGCCTTGAAGACATCAACTTCCGGGGTTTCCTTCCAATCAATCCGGGTGTTGACAAGAGCCAAGGTTTCTGGGCTATGTGTGGTGAGTGAAGAAGGGAAAGGGGAGTCCTTGAAAGGATACCAAAGGTCAAGAGAGAAAGGATCGAAGACACTACTCCTTCTTTTGCCAAAGAAACTTGGAATCAACGCCATTATTTTTCCAATATGAAACAATGATCAAGGAAAACTGAATAAGCGAAATTGAAAGTGTTCGATTGCAGATTGCTTCCCCGAATCTGATGCTGCGAATGCAGGAAATGTTGGGTATATAAAACAAGCTGAAGAGGACTCTAGTATATTCTCGGACTTTCTCTTTTGGGCCTCGAGTAACTTTCTTTTGCAGAGGCTTGCAAACATTGGCTTCCAATTGATGCCGAGTCTTATTTCCTAGTACACCTACCTTATTGGCCAACCATAAGAAATTAATTCGTAAAATATTTTACCAGGTCAAACGGACTATAGAAAACAAAGAGCAGCCCATTTCAACGTTGAGTGCAAAAAAGTCCAGACCATTCAAGCAATTTCTGGAACATTCACGCATTACAAGAGTGAAGAGAAAAAGTTTTCTTGAAGCCCAAAACACAAGTACGAGAAAGTACTAGATTCCTCTTTAGCTTCTTATAAATATCCAAAATGTCCTACTTTAACAAGATCAAATCAGCAACTGAGAGTTCCATCTATCAGCAAGACTTCCCATTACATTCAGTACATCATCAATCCTTACTCTTACAAATAAAAAAAGAATGGCGATGATTCCAAGTTTCTTTGGCAATCGAAGGAGTAGCATATTCGATCCTTGCTCTGTTGACCTTCGGGATCCTTGCAAGGACTTCCCTTTCTCTTCTTTTTCTTCACTCGCCGCCATACACAACCCAGAAACCTCTGCATTTGTCAACACCCACATCGACTGGAAGGAAACCTCGGAGGCCCATGTCTTCAAGGCTGACCTTCCAGGGCTCAAGAAAGAGGAAGTGAAAGTCGAGATTGAAGATGACAGGGTGCTTCAAATCAGCGGAGAGAGGAAAGTTGAGAAGGAAGAGAAGAATGACATGTGGCACCGAGTTGAACGTAGCGGTGGCAAGTTCATGAGGAGATTCAGGCTGCCGGAGAATGTGAAGATGGATCAGGTTAAGGCTTCCATGGAAAATGGGGTTCTTACTATTACTGTTCCTAAAGAGCAAGTGAAGAAACCTGACGTCAAAGCCATTGAGATTTCTGGTTAAAATCTTTGATGTGCTTTTTCTTTGGGTGCAATTATGTATTATTGTATACACCTATTAATACTGTAACCTAATGTTCTTTATTTAAATGTAACTGTGCCTTCGTTTTCTCATCTTCAAGACTCTTTTCAGTTCTGTTTCATCCCCCAACTTTTTAATAGATAAGAATTGTTAGATTTCATGTTTTAAACTTCCTCCAGTTCCAGTTGGCTGTGGTGTAAAGGTTCTTGATGCATTTAATCATAAGAAAGAGATTTCAATTTCTCATTCAAGTTGAAAAATATTGTACATATGAATACCCCATTGAAGGGAACATATCGTTGGACAGAGGGGATGATGTTATTGAAGTCACTACATATATGCAGAAGTCAGACACAGACGCAGTATCAGGATCAAGACCTGCAGAACAGAAGGCAGTTGACAATAAACCTGGTATTACACAATATGCCGTGGACAAGGCACAGAATGCAGTTGACAGTAGGCAAGGAACTGAACAAAATGTAGTTGATATTGCAATAGTAGTATTACACCATAAATTGTAATAGGAATCATGCTGAAAACAAGAGTGACAGAAGTCTGGAAACGGCAGAACTAGAAGGAGAAATATCATATACAGCGCTCTAAGAAGAAAACAATTACGCAATCATCACATGTCCAATAATCCAGGAGCAAATTAAGCGTAGTACCATTGGAAGCTTTGGTCGAAGGATCATATTGTATTTAGATTTTGTCTTTCATTGTATACAATACCGTCAGAAGAATTTCCCTAATACAGAGCTTCTTCATCAAATGTACAGGCCATATAAATCTTTATTTGACAAGTTTTAACAAGTGAAATTTCTGATTTTGGCTTGATTTAATCTATACAGGGAAAGATGTAAAGGCATTTAATTTGGGCGTTTGAGTTATTTCCAAAATTATTTATTAAAAGTACTGTAGTTATATATAGTTATGAAATAATGGCGAGAGAGATATTGAGAATTATACAATTTACTATGATTGATTCAAATATATTTATTCAAATTAGTAATTGATTGTTTCTTAGTTGTATAATGTATTATAATTTTATAATTTTTTTTATAATTAAAGAGATTTTGATGAAAATAAAAAAGTCAATATTTTGCACCGTCATGACAAATAAAAATGATAGCAAAAGATGCAATCATAGTTATTTGTATGCTAGATATAATAGATCTTAACTATTAATAATTAATTAATTATCATTAATCAAAACGTTATTTGTTATTTTTTATATTATATGATACTAGTGTGATAATTACATGGTATTTATTATAACACATCAACATATCACATCAATATCATATAATATAAAATGATATGTAACATTTTAATTAATAATATTTAAGTATTAAGTTATTACAATTTATAAACATTTTATTTTTTCATGTAAAAATAAATTATTGTACAATTTAACATTTCTGTATTTTTTTTTGAAGAAAAGAGAATTCATGCATGCAAACACACTCAAACTAAAAATGTGAATCACAGATTTAGATGTAAAGAGACAAATAGAAATGAATGAGATGAGAAAAATATATATTTTAATATACCCTTTGTATATTCCAATGAATTATTGATACCAGAAGCATGGGCAATTATTTCCTGAATGCTAGAATAGTACTATGACCATAGCAAACTTGTTTTCAATGATTCTAGAAATCCTTTTAGATCAACTCATTTCAAAGCATAAATTTGATAAACAAAGTAGACAGCTAAACCAAAAGGAGAAACAGGGATTCCTGTTGTCCTAATCATTTATTTAATTTGAAATAGGAAATATTTTTAAAAAAAGGCCCAACTTCAAGTTGGCCTTAGGACCAACTTGATATGGATGTTTACAAGATGCTATAGGAGTCCAGATCATTCCGGATACTTCTCATGTATTTGTGAATTACCCAGAATACTTAAGTTTCTTGTGGCCCAAAACACAAGTACGGGAAAATACTAGATTCCTGTCTCCGTCCTTTAAATACCAAACATGTCCTACCGTCACAGCATCAAGAGGAAAGTAACAGATTCTGAGAGCTCTCACCAGCAATCGAACACTTCCAGTGTCTTTTGTCCAGTTCTCCCTCAATCCTTACTTTCATCGAGAAAAAATGGCGATGATCCCTAGTTTCTTTGGCAACCCAAGGAGCAGCATCTTCTGTCCTTTCTCTCTCGACGTATGGGATCCTTTCAAGGATTTCCCTTTCTCTTCTTCTTCACTCACCACACACACCCCTGAAACCTCTACTTTTATCAACACCCGTATCGACTGGAAGGAAACCCCGGAAGCTCACGTATTCAAGGCTGACCTTCCAGGGCTCAAGACAGAAGAAGTAAAAGTCGAGATTGAAGATGACAGGGTGCTCCAAATTAGCGGAGAAAGGAATGTTGAGAAGGAAGACAAGAACGACACCTGGCACCGGGTTGAGCGTAGCAGTGGCAAGTTCATGAGGAGGTTCAGGTTGCCGGAGAATGTGAAGATGGATCAGGTTAAGGCTTTCATGGAAAATGGGGTTCTCACCGTTACCGTTCCTAAGGGGGAAGTGAAGAAACCTGATGTTAAAGCCATTGAGATTTCTAGTTAAAACCGCGTTTGATTTATATTGAACTTGAGAGTTCTTCTTATATGTTCTTGACTTGTATGTTAAAAACATGAAATTAGATTTCTCAAGGTTTTATGTACTAATGTAAAATGTTCTTTATCAAATTGACAATACTTCCTTTGCGAGTCCATTCAAAGAACTACATTAAGCTTTTTATCTACCAAGTTTAATTAGTAATAAGGGGCACAGATACCATAATTTCTTACTGAAAGCACAGGGATCTGAGTTTCAGGTCTTGTAATCAAATGATGATATCTGCTTTGTTAACTCATTCAAAGAACAGCATGAAGAACCGCCCTCCCGTAGACAAAGATCTGCTTTCTCCTTCAAATACATGGCTTTCTTTCTTATCTGCTCTCCCTCCATATCCACCATTAGTTTTTTTATTGCTCTTTCTATATTCCCTCTCTCCAACTTATTCTGCAATTCCAGGCCTACTCTCCAAACATGACAGATGTAGTTTGAGTTCAAGACTTGGTCTCCAAAGAAAGGCTTGCATAGCATTGGTACCCCTTCACAAATACTTTCAATGGTTGAATTCCATCCACAGTGACTCCAAAATCCCCCCACTGCACAATGCGCCAACACTTCTTTTTGGGGTGCCCATTTCACAATGCAACCTCTTTCTCCCAGACTCTCCTGGAATCCATTTGGCAATGACTCAATCCATTCTGAGCCACGAACAAAACCAGGCCTAATCACACACAAGAATGGTTGTTTACTGTTAGCTAGACCCCAGGCCATCTCAATTAGTTCTTGCTCATCAATGCTGGCCAAGCTACCAAAGCTTACATAGATGACAGATTTTGGGGCTTGCTTGTTAAGCCAAGAGATGCAGTTCGCATCTTCCATCAATATTGAGCTGCAGATGGTTGGAGCTAACTTGTGAAACGGTCCTATGGTGAAAATTGGAGCAGGGAAGTATTCTTTGACTTTTGACAGTGCTGCTTGTTCAAGGAAGTGGATAGTGTTCACAATGATAGCTGATGAGCTCTTCGTCCCGTTTGTCATTGCAGCTCTCACCTCTGTCATTGCATCTGTTGGATTCTGTAACAGTAATGCACGCATGTGTTGGAGCTGAAGTGATCGAAGCTCTGGCATTTCGTTTTCAGAAATAGAATCTGGAACGTATAATTTAAAGACTAAGGATATCAGGGATGAGTTACCAAGGGTACTTGTGAATTGAATCATATAATTGAATTTGATTAGTTTAACAAGACAGCAGACAAATATGTATAGTTGCTGTATTGTTGAACTTAAATATGATTTAATTTTTCTCTTTTGTGCAAGCTTATTGTAAAGCAGAAATAAGTACTTGTGATGCCTTCAGGCTTCTGTTGTAATTATATTACAGAAATTATTCCAAATAAAGGATTCTTCTGCAGAATTGTGTAACTTTCAATTTCCAATGGAATACGTAGTCATCATATATTGAACTTAACGCAGTTAGTAACACAAGGAGGAGAGAAGCAGGGACATCCATTTGTTTATTTACTCAAACCGTGTAAAGAAGAATACCTTTCCCATCAAGATGAGGAAAGACAGGATAGAGTAACAATGTTGCAGCTGCACTTGTACGCACACTTATCCCAGGCAGCTTCAGATCATCAGCAACAGTTTGAGCACAATACATGAGTGTGTCATAGAGGATGCCAGCAGTATGATCATGAGAACATTTCTGATGCAATATCTTTTTCATGCATTGCTGAAAAGGTGCTGCACAGTTCTTGTTGAGACTCAGCACGAGACTTGCAATATCTCCATCGGAGACTTCAGATTCCGTTAGCTTATCTGGTATTGATATGAAGGAGAATTCAGGGTGGTTTGAAGGGTCAGGAGAGTTCAATTCAGGGTGAACTATAGTGGCTGAGAAACCCTTTGAGTGTAAAATAGTTGCTAGCTGGAGCATGGGAGTTATGTGGCCTTGAAATGGGTACAAAACAAACACTAAATGACCAGACTTCAGTTGTTTCTCCATAGCTTTCGCTGTGAGTTTCGTGTAGCAAGTCTTGGTTTAATTTGCTGCTGCCGCAAGTTAATGGAAAATGAAACTGAAGACTTTCAGGCCACCGGAGCCAACAGTATAGAAGAATTTAGATAGGATGCTTGGATATCAACAAACAGCGTTTCAACGCATTTAGTCCTGGAACAGGTATCTGTTAGCAAATCAAATTTGGCAGCTTTCATCAGATGAAAATTATGGCCTTGGAAGCTTGGGACTTACCTACCAATTCACTTTATCATTATTGAATGCAAGTTCGAATTTTCTTTCTTTGACTTTTGGGAGAAAATAGACCATATGTCCCGGTTCTTTTAACTAGTGAAATTTCTCCTCCAAAGTTCAAAGACTCATCAGTCAACCACCCATCCTTTCCACGAAACATGTAACGCACAGAATCTTGGATATTCAGGGGAGGTGCTTTAAGAATTGACATAAATCTGAAACACAAGGACTAGATTAGTCCCAGCATTGATGTCCAATCAAAAAAGAAAAAGAAAAAAATTGCTTTTCTAGCTCTTTAAGGTGTAGACAAGAAATGAATTCAAGTAAGTTGCCACTTTCCAGAGATTTCATCCATAACCAAATTAATTCTGTTCCTGGTGAAGAATAGCTAATAGTTTCTGCAGATTAAAACAACAGTTCACCCTCCCAACTAATAAAACCCAGTTTCTAACCCTGAGCTTGCTTTCTTCTACCTGCCATCCTAGACCTTCTGAACATCCATGAGATGAAGTAAAGAAGGTGTATCCCCACAAGAACAAACATGACCATTGTCACTACATATATGGTGCTAAATTCTATAGGTGCTATGTACAAAATTGTACAGACGAAATCTGCAGACACGGCAAGTACAGCAAGCCGCAACAACAGTTTAAGAGGAAACTGACTAGTGAGCATGAGGATTATGACAACTGACAGGAAAAATCCTATAGAGCTGAAAAATATAACAAAAAAGAACATCAGTGCATCAGATGCAATGATAGATATTCCATCTGAATGTATTTGATCTGGATCTTCGAATCCATTGAATTCTCGATATCCACCTGGAGGGCTAAGAACTGACTGGTAGGTCACAGTAGCAATCAGAACAGCCACCACCATAAGTGAATTTCGCATCTCTGGAGTTGAGTTTTCAATTTCTTGGGTTAAGGTTGACCATATCTTCCAGATAAACAATGATGAAACCTCCTTATACATAAATTTCCAAGGCATCAAAAGGTCATATTTACAGCACAAATTTTCAGCTAGATTGTTTTCAGGAACATGATGACTAGTTGAATTATTTTCTCCAGCTTGATACGAATCAAAAGTTGTTGGTTGGTCAACTTGATGAGTAGCAACAGTTGAGGTAACAGCTACAATTATTTCTTCACTTCTAAATGCCCCTGCTTGTTGAAGCATCTTGCGAATCTTATGATCAATAGGATCATCCACAATTCGTCTTGAATGGAATAACATATCCAGGGCTGTGTAACCACTTCCGTTGCTGGAATTCACTTCTACTTTAAAAATGCTACCAACCCCTCCTTGGTCAAGCAACAGTTTTGCGGCCTGTTGGCCAAAAGAAAACTCCAGTTATTTGTGGATAAGCATCTAATGGTGATCAGGTTCATTTCATCAGTTCCATCATTCAGTTTAACAGTATTTATTTTCAAAATATTCTCAGACATTTTTATCATAAATAAAAGTTCGTCTAAGATGTAGCAATTAATAACCCAAAAAATTGTCATTATCTTGGCATTGCAGCCATAAAGATATCATTTCCACAGATTCCCAAAGTTTAGTAAAATTATTCTCCGACTTGAATTTCAGATACGACTACCGAAGCTCATAGCCACACACTACAGAAAAAAAAAAAATCAACTTTCCATTTTCTTGCCTAATCAAAGTTCAAGTTCTCCTCCATAACATAATCATTTCAATTTTAAAAAGATGGTTGAAAAGGTGAGGATAAACAAGGAAATAAAGAATTCTCACTCGAAGTTGCTTCCTGGCAACTGCAATGTGTAAAATTGTGTTGCCATCATGGTCCTTGGTATTCACAAGCCTCGTTATTTCTTCAGTGTTGATCTCCTTGAGCATTCCCAAAAGTATTTCAAAAGGCTCAACCTGGTTGTTCTTCAATGCAACGTGAAGTGCAGATTCATCTTGATCCGTCAAATCAGCCTTACATTCAGGACAAGTGTTGATCAGAGCCCTCAACACATCTACTCTCCCTGTAATAGCAGCAAAATGGATAGCTGTTCTTCCATCAGCACTCTTCTGTCGACTTAGCTCTTTGTTACTCATCAAAAGCTCTTTCACTATCTCTAAATATCCATTTGCTGAAGCCATGTGAATTGGACTAAACCCGTCCCTGTTGACCCTCTTAGCCAATTCAGGCTTCAAACTCATAATCTCTTTCACAAAATTCACACTTCCAGCCAGTGCTGCAATATGCAGGCAAGTCTCTGCTATGCTGTCTAATGAGGCTCGTTCAAGGATGAGTGGATCCTCATTAAGTAGTGAATGAAACGAACTAGTATCTCCTGTTCTAGCAGCTTCATACAGTCTCAGATCCATTATTTGTAGTGATGGATATGATCATATGGTTCATTTCATGCAAAATCATCATTTAAAGGGTAAATAGAGGGAAAGATAAGGAACAGGAGTCAAGTCAACAGCCGTAGTTAATGGGATTGACTTCCAATTCAATGACATGAAATTGATAAGTTGCAATGACACTTTTATTTTCTTAACAGTGAAAAATATGTAGATTTCTAACAGTTAAACTTCAGAACAGACATAGAAGGAAAGGCCAAACTAGCAGGGCCAATTATTGGATCTATGTAGCTATAGCTTGAGACTTGAATGATGATTAATTTAATCAAGCATCATTGTCGTCAATGAATACAGGAAGGTACCAATCATCCCCACCTTGAAAGAAAATGCAGATTGTATAGACTTAAGAACAAACAAATATTAGTAATTGAATAAGTTTTGAGAAGAAAATTTTCAAGAAAAGCAATTAAAGTTTGAAGAATGGAGAAAAACAAAGTGAGAAGAAGACTGAATATCTGGTAATCAAAAGCAACCACAGAATAACGGTTGCATTTTCATTTATATACTCTCAGTACAAAAACTAAGATCCTTGGATTCTGCCTAGGGAGACTAAAACGATTCATTGTTTTCTGTGTAGTGCCAATGGTAGCTAAGTTAAGCCTTTAACAGAGACACTTAATACGGTAGTACTAATGTGCGTACAAAGAGAAATAAAAGAACTCGACCTAAACACACTTAGAGATGTTGTACTACTTAGACAAAAACACACAAAATGGCAAGTACATCCTTCGTTTCAATACAACTGAAATAAAGACATAAAACGATAAAGAACAACGTTTTAATACTGTTAAACAAAGAAACAACATCGTATAAAACCTCCTTCTTCAAACTTCGGTATTTAGTTGGTTCTCGCCAAGTTATTTACCTGCTTCAAAATCACTTTTCAACACTGTCCCATGATTCTTAAGCTGTTGAACCCCCAAACATGATCTCAGATACTTAAATCTTTCTTTTTCCTAGACTTTTAGTAAATATATCAGCTAACTGCTCCTCCGTATTATAGTGTTTCAGCTCAATCTTATTTTCTTTCACAGCCTCTCTCAATGCATGATACTTGACCTTTATATGCTTGGTCCTACCATGCTGTACTTGGTTCTTAGCTATGGCAACTGCAGACATATTGTCAACATAAATTAGTGTACCTGTATCTTGCTGAAAACCCTAGTCAAGCAACAATTTCCTCAGCCACATTGCTTGATTGGTAGCAACACAGGCAATATATTCTGCTTCAGCTGTGGATCGAGCAATCACTTATTGCTTCTTTGAATTCCAGGCAAAAACAGCACTACCAAATGAAAAACAAAAACTCCTTGTACTCTTAGAATCATCAAGAGAGCCAGCCCAATCACTATCACAGAATCCAATTAGTTGACCACTCTCTTGCTTTAGATGCTTTAAACCATAATTTACAGCACTTTTAACATAACTCAAAATCTTCTTTGCTGCACTAACGTGAGCTTCAGAAGGATTTTGCATGAATCTGGACAGCAAGCAGGGAGGCTTTGCAACCAGTCAAATGATGTGAACAAGCACTGTTCAACAGCCAAATATTTGTTTTACCCGAGTCTTCACCTATGACCCATAAACAGAATTTTATCATTCTCTTCAATATGTTCTGGTATTGCAGACTAATCTGCAGTTTCTGATTTCTTTGCCTTGCACACTTTTTCTAGATGCCCCATCTGCTGGCAAGCCCTGCATTTGACATTAGGCCTATACCAACAATATTTTGTTTTATGGTTTCTCTTCTTACAGTTGGGACAAGAAGGGTATTTAACAGCAGATTTACCTTTCTTCCCTTCATCAGCTCTACTTCCCTTTCCATCATTCTTCTTTGAGCTATTACCCCTAACTTTCTGTCTCTTTGTCTTAGCCACTGAGGCATTCTCAACAAAGTTTTCTCCCCTGTGTCTCCTTCTCTGCTCTTGAGTTAGTAGAGCACCGCTGAGGTCATTAACAAAAATCCTGATTAGGTCTTTTGAGTCTTCCAGAGATGAGATCTTAGCTTTAAATCTCTTTGGAATATTGACTAGGATTTTGTTAACAACTTGTTTATCACTCACTTCTTCTCCAAGTTGTCTGAGTTGATTTACAAGCTTCAATAGCTTGTCAGCATAGTCTTGGATGCCTTTTTCTTCCTTCATTCTCATCAGCTCAAACTGTCTTGAAAGGTTCAGCACCTGCATAGCCCTTGTTGGGTCATTACCTGGATATTCTTCTTTCAAGCTATCCCATAATCTCTTTGGATCCTCATAATTAATGATCTTAGCAAAGATCGAGTCTAACATAGTTGATTGAAGACAAATGAGGGCTTTGTATCGCTTAGCAACCTCCTTACTATGCTGCTTAATTTGAGCTATTGTGGGGTTGACATGCCTTTGCATTGTGATTTCACCAGACTCAACAACATCCGACAAGTCAAATGCCTTTAAGTATGAGCGCATTTTGACCAAATAGAAGGGGTACTTGTCATCGAACAAAACTAAAAGAGTAGCTGCACTAAACCCTGTTGTAGCCATGGGCAGAATCAAGAAACCAACTCACAACTGAATCACAGGTCCTTCGAGAAATAATGCTCTGATACCATGAAGAAGTTTTGAGAAGAAAATTTTCAGGGAAAATAAAGAAAGTTCGAAGAATAGAGTAAAATAAAATGAGAAGAAGACTGAACATTTGGAAATCAAAAGCAACCACGGAATAACAGTTGCATTTTCATTTATATACTCTCAATACAAAAACTAAGATCCTTAGATTCAGCTTTGGGAGACTAAATCGGAGGGGAATTAGCTGAGCACAGAAAACGATTTATTGTTTTCTGTGCAGTGCCAACGATAACTAAGTCAACACACCAGACATGGCTGTTAAGCCTTTAACAGAGACACTTAAAACGGCAACACTAATGTGCGTACAAAGAGAAATAAAAGAACTTGGCCTAAACGACACTTAGAGATGCTGTTCTACTTAAACACAAACACACAAAACAGCAAGTACATTCTTCATTTCAATACAACTGAAATAAAGACATAAACTGACATAAAGAACAACATTTGCTACTGTTAAACAAAGAAACGGCACCATATAAAACCTCTTTCTTCAAACTTCAGTATTCAGGTAGTTCCTGCCAAGTTATTTCCCTGCTTCAAAATCACTTTTCAATAGTAGTGAACAGAGCATAAGCTATAACTTCAATTCAAGGGCATGCCATTAACTAATGATATATCTCCATCTCATAATGTAACCAAACTCACAAAATCCGCTTTGTGAACTCATTCAAAGAGCTGTATGAAGTACCGCCCTCTCTTAGACAAATCTCTGCTTTCTTCTTCAAATCCATAGCTTTATTTCTAATCTCCACTCCTTCTATATCCACCATTAGTCTTTTTATAGCTCCTTCTATCTTTCCTCTCTCCAACTCATTATCCAATTCCAGGCCTATTTGCCACACATAACAGATGTACCTCATGTTGAGGAATTGGTCTCCGAAACAAGGCTTGCATAACATTGCTACTCCTTCGGAGACACTCTCAAGTGTAGAATTCCATCCACAGTGAGTCCAAAATCCACCCACTGCATCATGCGCTAACACCTCCCTTTGAGGTGCCCATTTAACAATGCAGCCTCTTTCTCCAACTTTCTCTTGGAAACCCTCTGGCAATAACTCGGTCCCTTCCGAGCCAAGAACCAGACCAGGCCTAATCACCCACAAAAATGGCTGTTCACTGTTGGCCAACCCCCAAGCTATCTCAACAATGTCTTGCTTACTCAAGCTGGCCATGCTTCCAAAGCTGGCATAGATAACAGATTTTGGGGCTTGTTTGTCAAGCCAAGAAATGCAGTAAGCATCCTCCTTCAGTAATGAGCTGGAATTGGATGGAGCTAATTTGTGGAAAGGGCCAATAGTGAAAATTGGAGCAGGCGAGTATTCTTTAATCTTTGACAGTGCTACTTCTTCAAGGAAGTCCATTGTGTTTGCAATCATAGCTGATGATCTCTTTGTTGCATTTAACGCTGCAGCTCTCACTTCTGACATGGCATCTGTTGGATTCTCTGACATAGCTGCAACCATTTGTTTAAGCTGAAGGGGTTGAAGCTCCGGTAATTGGTTTTCAAAGACAGACTCTGTCACATAATTTAAAATGGTATCAAGATATTAGCACCAAGTCAATGAGAAAAATAAGTTGGTTGATTGATTTCAGATAATTTCATGCAGAGTTTAAGAGCCTATAGCTACAACCAAATGCAGTAACGTAATTAGTCATCTGTTCTTTTAATAATTACATACAAGAATGTATATGATTATTACAGCAGAATACTTGATGCCTTAAAATTTCTGTTCTTTATATGTGCATAATTTTCTAGAATCTAATTTCATATGGGATATTTCACCATCATAGAAACTTTCGTCGAAATAACTACTGTAAGGCGAAAAGCAGAAAAATTGAATTGGTCCACACATGCCTTGATCAGGATGAGGAATAACAGCAAAGAGCAGCATTGCTGCAGCAGTCGGACGCATGCTAATCCCTGGCAAACCAAGATCATCAGCAACAGTTTGAGCAAAGTACATGAGAGCATCATATACGATACCAGCAATACGTTCATAGGGATGCATCTCGTCCAAGATTCGCTTCAAGCATTGCTTCAATGGTGCTGCACAGTTCTTGTTGAGAGCCAAAACCAGACTCATAAAATCCCCTGGTGAGAGTGAGACTTTGGACTCAAGTAGCTTATCTGGAATGGATATGAAGGTGAATTGGGGGTGGTTTGAAGGGTTAGGAGAGTTGAATTCAGGGTGAACTATGGTGATTGAGTAACCTTTTGAGTGAAAGATAGCGGCTAGCTGGAGCATAGGGTTTATGTGGCCTTGGAATGGGTATATCACAAGCACCAATCTGCTGGCTTGTTCCCCTAGCTTCTCCATTTCTTTTCCTGTTGAGTTTAGTAACGCAAGGCTTCACTTTGTTGAGTTCAAGGAAAACAAATGTGAAGATCTCAAGCCAACGTAACCAATCTGTCTGCATATTCACAGTGGTAGGTGTGTTTTACACGATTCGTCAAGGAACAGCTCCTTGACATGTCAATTTCTGTCTGCACCTTTACCTTATTGGACTTTGCTTGATGGGATATTTGGTGGCTATTGTGCCACGTCGTAAACTGTTGAAAGCTAAAAGGACAAACTAGATATTACAAGGATATAAAATCTCATGTTTGTGATCAATTGCAATCCAGGGCTCAAATCCCAGATAAACCAGAGGTGGTTCACTTTTCAAGCTCCACCTATATGAAAATCAAATGTAAAGAATTCTCCAAATGCAAGTTGTCACGAGCATGGTGCCATGATCATTACCATGTGTATCTTTGCCCAATGGATAGTCGAACAAAACATTTCCAAATAAGAAAACGATTTTTGCAGAAAGATCATTTTGACTTTTTTTTCTTTAAGATGAATGAAATGAAATAACGATTTTTTTAAAAAAATATAAATAAAGAAACAAATTTTGTTTGATTATATATATCACCTTAACATTATTCATCCCAAAGCTTAGAATTTTGTGGTAAGTAAACCATGAGAAATTCAATGATATGTTTACTTATAGTGTCTTCACCTCTTGTAATCATAGTAAGATACACCCAAAGAAGGCTTCCATTTAGCATAGGTGCCCCTTCACAATTACTCTCAAGTGTAGAATTCCATGCACAATGACTCTAATATCTCCCACTGCTCCATAGTTTTGTTGCATAGGGTTAAAAGAAAACAATATATGGTTCAGGTTTGAGTGATCCGAAAAGCTTTGTTTGATCTTGATCCCATGTATATATGTACATTAGTTAATTGACTAGCTAAAACCATCAGGAACTCAGATCAGTTAAAGCTCACATTCGAAGTCTTTGTCAAAGAGATGCAGAATTTTCGAAGACTTGAAACGCATCAGCCCATCTCTATTCCACAAACTGTGTTGTACTACAGATAACAAGACTACAGTAATGTGCAGTACAATGATAATGGGTAAAGCCCACTTGATCATTCACAAAAATCTAGCATTAAAAAATGATTTAAAGATCGTTCTTTATCCCTAGCTCACAACTCTAGTGGGCATTAAGTACATGAAATCACTTTGCACTTGATATTGCACCATGGCTTTCTTCAGATTTGCCATCCCAATTACACCCTTTTCCCCTTAATTAAAACCTGATAATTATAACCACCAAAACTTTAGAGAACAGTGATTACTTAGTGGAGCACTTAATGTACTAAAAACTAATGGTAGTACAGAGAAATGAAGTGTCTGACGTACGATCAGTCAGCAAAAATCTTTTTATCTCCAATGCCCTTTTAAATTGCTTCAGTGAGTCCAGTAAGGATCGTGGAGCAAAGCAAAGCAAGATGAAGATGGGACAAATGACATTCTTTTGGGGCAAGAACACGGAAGATATATTTCCAGGATGGCCAGGTCGAAGCTTATGCTCCTACTTTTTGGGGCTAATTTGGGTGTTTCTTCTTTCATTGATGGTAGAGCGGCTTTCCCATACCAGGTTCATCAAGCCAGGCACCAACCATGTCACCGCAGGGCTTCTGCAAACAATGATGTACGCCATCAGGGTTGCTTTGGCTTACTTGGTTATGCTTTCCGTCATGTCGATTAACGTCGGTGTTTTGTTAGCTTCTGTTGCTGGGTATGCAGTTGGGTTCTTGGTTTATGGCAGTCAAGTTTTTAGGAAGTCTGGGTTTGGTCCCTTCGAGGAACCTTCTGATATTCCCCCTCTGAACTGTTGACAAAGAAAACACTTATCCATCTTATCTGAAAGTTTCTTACACTCCAGTTTTGTTATTATTTTTGCCATATGTGAAAACCAATTCATATTTAGACCAACATGAAGACTTACAAGTTACAAGCAATCTAATAACTTTGTTTTTTGATAAACAATTATAGGATTTTGTTCAGAATCTTTATAAAAATCTCACCAACTTGACGTGGAAGTTTACACTGGATTAATACTTATTTCTTAACAACAATTAACTTAAAATTTTATATAAATATTAAAAATCACATTTGCATTTTGTGTAAGAAGTAATATCGTAAGTTTAAGAAAATCTTTTTTTTTAATTGTCAATCAATCAAAAAAATTTATTAAGAATGAATCTATTTTTCCAAATTTCCACATTATAAAGGTGAATAAAGTGGATTGCTTTTTTCATACATTTTTGACATAATAATTAATAAATTATTTTAAAAAATTCAAATAAACCTTTATGCTTTTATTACATTTAATGAAGTTTTAGTATTTTTATTTTGAATCAAATAGGTTTTTATATTTTTTATTTTAAGTCAAATAAATATTTATAATTAATGATTGATTTAGTGAAAATATTATTTATCATTCTATACCACATGATGTTGACGTAGCATGCTAATATGTATAATAATGTGATAAGCTTATGTGATATGATAATATGATTATGTAGTATTTTTTACTTTACATATCAATGTCACATGAATATTAAATAAAAAATAAATTTTAACTAATAATAATTAATCAAATATTAATTATAAAAGTTTATTTGATTTAAAAAATATATAAATATTTAATTAAATGTAATAAAAAAATAAAAATTTATTTAAATTTTTTAAATAATCTATTTTTTTTAAAAAAAATTATGCTTACATTTTATCTCATAAGGGAAAGAATAAATAATTAAAAAATATCGTATTAAGTTAAAAAAAACCCAAACACAAAATATCTTTAAAAGGCCCAAACGAGTTGAAAGGTCCAAATTCATATCAGATGCAAGCCGCAACATAGGGCGGAGTGATATTCACTTGGCCCAACACTCCTTTTTGGGCCTCTGTAAATTCGGAAGAAACACCCATCATTCCATTCCGTCATTGAACCATAAGTTTCCACTTTTAACCATCCAATAAGATATACATGAAGATAATTAGTGCAGTTTTTGGATAAAATTTTTAATTTTATTTAAAAAACTTGGCCCAAAAATATTTAAAGGTATGATAAATTGTTAACTATATAAAATTTCTGAATAATTTTTCTGATAAATTCTCTTTATATATTACGTAATATATCAATATTCAAATTCTATTCATTAATAAGTTTCAATTTTGAATTTAGTCATCATTTAATTATTTTCCTTTAAAATCTCACAAAGCAACACAATGCTTTTAGCCATTCTTTTACGGTAAAACTTTTGTGTTGAAGTGAGCTCTAAGTAATTGAAATGCTTAAGTTGAAGCAAGATGTACTCAAGGAACGTGATTGAGTCAACAATATGAACAACATCGTCACTTGATGAATCTTCTAAGGATTTAACCATGTAATTTCTAGCCTGTTGCACTTATCAGACCAACCCCACTTGTGGGCATAAACATCAAATCAGACCCCATTTGTGGGCAATTGGTAAGCTTGACCGTTTGGCACGTCTAAGGTACAAACAGGCTAATCCATCCTTTTCATGGACTTGACCTTTTTTGGCATCAAGCACACGGATTCCTCTTTAGCATTGAATCACAGCATGACTTGTAAAACCTCTCTTACCACCAATTTCCTCCAATATCCTGGATTAGCTTTTGGGTTATTGTGAACAGGGTTGTCTTTTCTTGACTATTCAATTGCAGGTCTTGAGAGCCCCCAGTCCCATTGACATGTACCGCACACAACACAAGTTCAAATGTACTATCAGTTCATTTAGAATTGCGTAACAGCAGCCTTGTTTATAAACCAAGCAAAATACAAGAGATTTTGCCGTTGCCACCACATCAAAAACCTCCCCCAAATCACAAAGCTCCCAAGTCTCCAGGCCCATACTCAGAGACAGAGATTCTAGAATTGAGAAAGAGCCATGGAGAATATGAATCATGACCCCATGCATGGCATGAACGACGAGCCAGCTGCTGGAGGGACGACGCAACACCACAGGATGATGATGCACATGACCTTCTTTTGGGGGAAAAACGCTGAGATTCTCTTCTCGGGATGGCCTGGCACAAGAACTGGCATGTATGTCTTGGCCCTGATTGTTGTCTTTGTGCTTGGTTTCATGGTTGAGTGGATCTCTCATTCCCAATTGATCAAGCCTGGCTCAACCCATGTGGGTGCTGGTGTTGTTCAGACTTTGCTGCATGCTTTGAGGGTTGGTCTTGCCTATCTGGTGATGCTGGCTGTCATGTCTTTCAATGGGGGTGTCCTCTTGGCTGCCGTGGCTGGGCATACTCTGGGGTTTTTGTTATTTGGCAGTAGAGTTTTCAAGAAATCCTCAGCCCCTGCCCCTGGAAAAACATCTGATCTTCCTCCTACAAGTTGTTGAATGCAAGAATAGATTTCAGTTTCTTCATGGTGGATTTGTCTCCTTTATTAGTCTCTTTTTTGTTTTTCTTCTTCTTCTTAAAGTACCCCTTCTTTCTTTATGAATCCATGCTATTATTTCTGAGAGTATTGTACACCTTATGCTTTTTTTTTTCTTTTAAGTTGGATTTGTTTGTCTTAATCTATGCTTTGCTCTGTATTTGTCTGTCAATTGATGAAAAGGAAATCTATAGATTGCTTAAGAAATAGGGATTCTTTTACCCATTTCTGTAAATTCTTAGCCTATTTGAGTGAATTTTAGTGGTTGTGAAAGATAAAAATAAAATAAAAAAGTTTGATTAAGTTATAGATTTTCTCCAAGCTATCACCTAAGTATGGAATTATCCATCAAATATTAATGGCTAGTGAATGTGAGGGGTCAATTGATTATTGATTCCAACCTTAAACCCAAGGATGGGATTTCATAAAAGCAACCAGCTGGAAGTTGCAATGTCAAGTCATTGTCAAAGGAGGCAACGCAATGCACCCAGGACCAACCCAAGTTGGGTTCCTGTCTCTCTTTTCACCCATCCCTGTTCCATTTAACTTCTACTCAAACTGATGCTATTCTTTTGCAATTAGCAGTGGGCACCAGAATCCTTAGATGATCATTTCTTTCATTTTGATTGTACTGTTCTTTAGACAAGAATGGTTGCTAACATGATATCAAAACCTCTCTTAAGGGATTTAAAGTTTAAATTCTAAATGATTCCATCTCTATATTACTATGTATATTCTTTTTATATATAAGTTTCTAGCACAAGATGCATAATGAACTTCTTCTTTATTCACGGTTTCAATGAGCAATTGCATGCAAATAGCATGTTAATGCTACTATTATTTTTTAGACACTCACATATGAAGTGTTTACCATTTGTTTAATTTTTTAAATATGCAACTTAAACTTTTTAAGTCAAATAATTCTTGATATACAAATATATCAATTTACTTGAAAAACTCTCTAATCACTCACCATACCTAATCAAATTCTCATATTTCTTTCCTATAAGCACATACAATTAATGTCTACACATGTGAATTTTAAAACTTTCTCCCTATATATGAATTGAACAAATGCCACTTCAAGCAAACCTATCAAATAAAGCCACTTTCCTATTTGTCCAAAGGCAATCAAGAAAATTTAGAAAAGAATCTTTACATTATTTCTCCAATGCTCGTATGTTGATTTCCATTTGTTTAAAGAAAAAGGAAAACAAGAAACAAATAGCATATAGTCACTTTCCATCATAATATATAGAAAACTTAGAACCGTAAGCCATGCATATTCCATCATGTAGTTTTTTTAGAAGAGGGTAATTAATGATCCAGTGTCAGAAGTATTATCTTGAAATAACTATATATATATATTTTTTTAAGAATTTGATGAGAAGGCAATAATAGTTGACCCTATCAGTAGCAGCCGTTCCATGGGAAAAAAAATATCTCTGGGAGCAAGACAAGGAACACTCCGTTGGCTTTATGAGATATAAGCAAGAAACGAATGGTTCCTAGCTATCCTCCTGGATCCCTCTCTGGCCGATGTCAAGCGGTTTGTGAAAGTGATATTTAAACCATTATATAATTTCTTCCCCTGTGTAATCCATTTGCCTAATTGACATGCCAAAATTCCAAAGTAGTTGACATTTTGGAAAACATAGATTGAATATCAAATTAATTCCCTTTTGGGTGGAGGGTGTTTTAGCTGTGAATGCATGTGCTCCACCATTAATTGCTACCAATCTTAATTAAAACGCTGCAGGTACGTACACTTCATTGAAAGGAGTTAAGGTTTCCAGTTTTGAGTCCAAACAAACAAGAATGGATTTCGTTTTGTTGGCTTCATGAGTTTAAGTCGGAATTAGATTCTTATTTATCAAACTTTGATCGATAATTTTGAATACATTTATAGTATTATCTGTTTATCTTATAAGATTCATTGGATAATTTGAATTGTACATGTGAACAGTGATAATAAACATATCGGGAAATATTTGATAAAAGAAATGGACAAGAAAGCTCTCCAAAAGCCGACAGTAATTGCATTATAGTCATAGATGTGCTAATCCGCCATAGACAGCAGCCAGTAAAAGAGAGATTAAAATTTCAAGGCGTTCTAAATGAGGGACAGGATGTTTTGTTAGACAGATATCATGAAACTTTTGCTGGCATTTTCAGTACAAGGTAGCACTGTAAGTGCTCGTAAACTCTTCTGGTTAAGAGCTAAGAACTCCAGTTGTCATCTTCTCATGTAGCTGGCTCTTAATTTGCATATATAGAAAGTAAGGGAGGATTTTTTGGATTTTATTTAATTATTATAACAAAAATCTGGGTCAATGGTCATTTTTGGAAAAGAAAATTATAAGTGGAACTTGCCATATGGGGACCAAGAAAATTAAAACGTGTACTACAAAATTTAACAGTACAATAAGGGTTAATGTACGATACAGATAATCATCCAAAAACCCTAATTTTTCGTCGATGTCCTTATAATCCTCCTCATTTTCCCAAATCCAACACTAATTTCCACCCACATTCCTGAACTTAAACTTGAGACGATTTTGTGCTTTTCTGTGTCTTAATTCCAATTGGAATTCCATCAAAATTAAATAAATTTTTACAGTTATCGTAGGTAGAAATGAATCATGATCATAGCATGGGAGGCATGGCACCAGCATCACAGTCAACCAATGGCACCTCCGGGATGCACCACCACCAGATGATGATGATGATGCATATGACCTTCTTCTGGGGCAAGAACGCCGAGATCCTCTTCTCAGGCTGGCCCGGCACTCGTGCCGGGATGTATGGATTAGCCTTGATATTGATCTTTGTACTTGCTTTCCTTGTTGAATGGCTCTCTCATTCTAATCACTTGATCAAGCGAGGATCGAGCAATGTCTCAGCTGGTCTTTTGCAAACGTTCTTGCATGCCATAAGGGTTGCTCTTGCTTATCTGGTGATGCTTGCTGTCATGTCTTTTAATGGTGGGGTGTTTCTTATGGCGGTTGCTGGCCATACCTTGGGGTTTTTGTTGTTTGGCAGTAGGATGTTCAAGAAAAAAACAGAAATGTTGTCTTATGAGAAAACCTCTGATCTTCCTCCTATGAGTTGCTGATGATCTATTCATTGTATCCTTCTGTCTTAAATTTCCAATTTCCAATACATTTTACTTTTATATATATCTTCACCCTCTTGTTATATTTCACTTTAGAACTTGTGAGATTTATCAGTCAATTCCTCAATGATATGTGTTATAGCTTGGTTCTTATTTCTTTGTCTGTTTGTGTGGGTGGGTTTGTGTTTTTCATCTTTTGTTGTCATGAAAATTCCCCAAAATTCTAAGGGCCCTCTTGCTTTTTCCATAATGCAACCGAAGTACCAGGAAAAAACAATTTTTCTGTTGTGATATTTTTCTTTTCAAATTCGATTGTAATATCTGACTCATAAAGATGAACACATGACCATGGGGATTGGATTCTGCAGGTATTAGATTCTGATCTTTTTTTCTTTTCCTCAAGAAAAGGAATAATAGAATGGTTTGCTCATTTTGGGAACATAAATTTCCATGTTCCATGGCTTGCTATCTTGTTGGTTTGGCAATGCTTTTAACATATCCCACCAGAATCTAAAACCCTACTGTCCAAGGGGTTGGACACTTGCATACCCTTTTCAAACGTATGAATCCTAATTAAGCATTTAAATCGAACGATTCTTTTGCCTATTTTCTTCATAGGGATCAATCATCTTTCAGTTCTTCATTAGTCTCCAGGGCTTTCCAGCAAAATCTAGGGCTTGCCCTTGTGTTTCATCAGTGGACCTGTAAAGTTCTAGTGCAAGCATTGAGCATTGACAGGCACGAGAGAACCGCAATTAAATTTTACAATAACTAGCCATCGAGAGGTTTCAATGCAAATTAAGATTTTTGTCTCAGTATCTGCCACACAAACATTATTCATCCTTTGATATTTTGGACATGGGTGTTCATGCCTTAGCTCAATGCCAGCAGCCTACTTCAACTAAAAACTTTCATTAGGCATTGGCCCTTAGGCTCCTTCCAGCGGATATCATCAACTTCTTCTCAGCTTTTTATTCACCCCAGCCACCAATTGGTCGAGAATTTAAGGTTTTCCAACGGTTCTACAACAACGCGCAGACAGGTTTAAAGAGGACAGGGCATACAACTGCATGGGTTAATTAAGGTGAACTCACCCACTTAATCCTAAATATATATTGGGCCTATTATTGATGTATAAACTATTTCTATCAACAGACAGAGCCCACAATTGACCACAAAATCTTTCTCTTCCACATAAAAAAACTAAAGAAGGTTTAAGCCCAATGAATCTATTATTAGTACTATATATCATTTATTATGCATAATTAGGGTAATGTCCTGAGAAGTTTGAGATTTAGAGTTCGAATGTTGAACTTCTAATGGGTACATCATTAATAAAATAAATACATAGAATGACTTTCTTTTAGGTAAGACAAGGAAGGGATTAAAAGTAAAAAAAAGTGGCATAAACTCTATAACAAGTCTTTGTAGTATATTGTTTTATTAACTAAACCCTCCATCTTTAATTACATTCTAATCAATCCTTAAGCTTCTATTTTGAGTCAAATTAACACTTTTGAGTAAATAAGAGTGTAGCCATCATTAGACCCAATAATAGTTGTTCTTTTTGCCACCATGACATATAATTCGGTTAGTTAATACGGCCACATGATAGAACCAAAATTTAGAATTATCAATTATTGATTGAATGACCTATTTAATTCAAAATAGAAATTTAAAGACTCATTTGAATGCAATAAAAAGTGAAAAATTTAGTTAAATAAAAAGAGATAGTATGTGAGTTTTTTTACATTTTAAGCAAAAAAAAAATGAAATTTTAACAAAAAACTCTGAAAATGGCTCCATTAGAATTGTGATTATCATTAGGCATATCCAAATGTGATAATATTACTATTTTCTATGTATACTTTCTTTTTTGGATTATAGATACTATTTACAATAAAGATTACAAATTGATATGGGAGTTCTAAATAATTATCTAAAGCACTTGCACAATGACATGCGAATTTTTTTTTTGAAAAATATTTATTAGTCTTGAGAACTATTATGTTAGTCCATGTCTTTTACTTAATTGACAAGAGATTCTCTATAACATAAAGACCTAGTATAGACAAAGAAAATTTATATAATTACAAAAGATAATTACTGCCCTAAATGCTGTTGACCATAATCTTAAGAGTTAATGTCATATTATAGGGTAGGGTAGACTGAAAATTTTGAATTTTCAACTATGTATTGAAAGTAGTAGGTTGATGAGACCCGGCAATATCCATCATGGCCCCACGAGAAGCTAGAACTCTAGTGACTGTAAAACTTATGATAGTCATAGTATTTTGTCATTGTCAAAAATGAACAGATAGGGGTCCTCCTCGTGTAACTCATTACAGCATGTATTAAATGTTAACCTGTAGAATCAGTCTACCCTATCCTCCATGGTTAGGTGGCTATATTTGAAGGGAAAAAAAAAAAACCCATGCAACCAGTCTCATGAATCCAACATTAAAGCTTAATGTGCATTAAGGTAAAAAAAAATTCTTCAAATTTACCACAGAGAGACAAAGTAAATAGCAAAAGTCACACGGCCTAATTTCAATTGACCAGTGAAGTATCGACTAGCTTTTATCTTACTTCAGGATCGTGACAAAGGGAGGACTGGACTCTCTTGGTCACAGGACCTGAGGTTGAAAAGAGCTCGCTAGGCACAAAAATTTCCACCAAGCTGCCATCCACTTGCCGTTTTGCTTGGTATATCTTTAGAACTTTTGATAGCTCATATATATCTGTTCTTGGGATTTGCTGTAGATGGCGTCTCGAGCGAGCAGCTCTGACTCTCATTATCTTCAGATTCAGCTTCATCCAGAAGAAGATAAAAAGATGGGAACAATTTCCAGCCGTGTCTCTCCTGGGTCAGTTGCCTGTTTATTGACCGCCCCCCATCAAATTCCACAATTAGAGGCAGTGGTCCCTATATTATTCTTTGTCTGGTGCAAAACGGGTAAATCAAATCAAGAAATTCCAACTTATATCCATCTTTTAACATGCCTCTGAAACCGCCTGGTATTACGGAGCCCTTCTTTTCCTTCTGAGAACTTCGCTGTTTGTAATGTTCTTTGCCAATTGACAGAACGTCTCTGCCTGACCAGTTCGCTCGATTTATTGCCAAGTAGTATTAGATATTCATTACTGTTTTGATGGGTCGTAGTAGACGCATGTATTCGTAAGATTAAGATCGTGTCCATGGTATTAATTAATCAAAAACATAACTTAATAGGCATGGAATCATCCGGGACCATTTGGCTGACAATTCCACACTCACTCCTGCTAAAGCATGAACTACTTCATTTGCCTCTCTCTCTGACATGACAAAAACTACAACAATTAGAACTTGAAGCTAGCTCGGTATTGAATTTCAACTCCGAATCGAATATCAACAAAGAATACAGCCCAGGATACAAGTGGAGTATCAGGATTCCATAGTTTGTACAAGTTGCTATTACAGCAAGTGTGTGCGGACAACAACATAACCCCATCACACAAACTTGCTGGGAATATTTGAAGCATAATAATCCGCAATTGCCCTACAAATTGCACGCCTTGAGCGATCAAAATACTTGAGTATGAATGCCTAATCGATCACTCCCATCATTACAAAATTTAACAATGCACCTTATCCCTATGTTGCCAGAAAGTGGCTTCATACGCATCACTAGGCAAAAAGAAAAAGCAACAGTTTCATCTTCCTCGTGTTGCTTTACCAGATTCAAAGTAAATAAAATGGAGTACCTTCATCAGAATGAAGATGGAATCACTTCAACATTTTCTTGGTACAATTTCGCTTAATATTTAGAAAAACATGCCCTGTATTGTACATGATAAGCATAAAAACGAGAGCATATTTAAAAAAAGAAAAGAATAAAAATGATATACGAAAGAATCTAACATGGTTACTAGATCCATCTATATAAGAGCAAATAATGTGGACCGAGTCGATTGATCGTGGAACGGACAGATTCTGACCCCACAAAACCAGAAGCAAACACATATTTCCACATGGAAGACTGAAAAATCAAGGTCCTCACCTTCCAACTTTCCCATACCAGTAGTATGGAGGGCGTAGACGGTCAGCACCAGATATAAACGAAAAACACAGCAAAAGGACAAAAGGGTGCACAAAGATTCTTGGCGGTAGCAAATCAGAAAACTACCCTGTCTTACCTGGTAAGCACCTAAAAAGGACAATCTTCTTTATGGAAGAAACTTGGATGATGGAAACTTTCCAGGTGAAAGTGATCTTCAACCTTATAGACTACATGGACCCAAACGGATTAATTAGTTTCTGCCTTTCTGGTCATACTGATACGTGCCTTTGATTTAAGGTTACAAGTGGTCCAAGTGGGTCTTGTGCTTTATGCTATATGAGTGAAAGGCACGAATTTGGTTTCTGGCATGGCAGTTTCTGTAGCGCCCCCTACCCCTAGAGCTTCATTTACGTTCATGTTCAAAAGTAAAATAAGGTGTTCACCAACTTGCATAAAACCATTTATGAAAGGTAGAAAGGCTAAATTTACTTAATGGTTCACTGAATCTTCACATTTTCATGAGATCCCTGTAAAATCAACATAATGAAGTTTTTCACTGATGCCAGAAAGTGATAAAAGGGCACAAAATAGAAGTGAATGCCATGATTGTTCCACTTTTGTTTCTGTTAGTTTCTATAATGTGGAAACGAAAGACTTTTCGATGAGATACCAAAGGAAGTTCATATTGCTGATAGCTGATTTTATTACAAGGATTTAAAGAAAGACATACTCAATAAGCTTACAAAGACTTGAGCCAGCCAGCCAGCCAGCCAGCCAGCTAGCCAGAGGAAACAAAGACTGTATGTATTTATTTTATTTGCCCATCTAACTTCAAACCCCAAAATTAGAAAAGGAAAAAAAATGAAAAATACATATTTCTTAACCGTATAAGTAATATTAGTTTGTCCTACTCTCAGTAGATTCCCTGTACTTGATCGCTGTGTCTTTTTTTTCTTTTCCTCTTTATTCTGCCTTGAACTTGTTCTGTTCCCTTCATTTAGCTTAAATGAAAAATTAGAAGTGAGAAGCAACCCCGTGTGCTTGAGAGGGTTCTCATTTTAATATGTCCATTCCTGAGGTAGACCAACGTCTTGATGGTTCAAAGCCGGCACCGTCCTGGGCTGGCGCTTTTGCTGTGAATACATGCTATTCCTCCCACTCACAGAAGCATCTGCATGGAATCAGAAAAAGGTTTTAAATTCAAATGTGAAGACAAAAGGCTTAACGATAATGTTGTTTTCTGGGGTGGTCAGTTAGCTACCGTGTTCAAGAGGGAAACCACTATTGAACCTTGATGGGACCCCTGTTTTCTCAAAGTGGAGCTTCAGGGCCTGAAGTACTCTTGCGGGAATCAGAACTGTGGCACATCCTGATCAAAACAGAATCCAGGTTTAAATATCTGGGAAGGGATATCTGTGTATACACTGACTAGCAAAATCCAAATCCACCAGGGTAAAAATACTATTAATTAAATTTACACCAAGTTTCTGCTGAAAGCAACATGCAAATGGAGTAAACCAGGAGGGGACCACGGGCGGGGAAGATTCCTGTTCGCATTGATCAAATCTTGGACACTAGCAAACGAGAAATATTTAGTTGATGAAAAGGAATCTCGGAACATGGGCATATAAACCAATTACCAGAATTCATAGTCAAAACTCGGAAACCAAACACAATAAAAATGCAAACTTAATCGGCAAATCGGATAGCTGATAGTTCCACTGAACATTTAACCACCCCAACAAATCAAACCAAACTTTTGCCTAAATCATAAAGCGACCCCAAGAACCTTTCAATTATTCTAAGATTATCACCAAAATGGAACACTTTTGAACCTTGTTTCTTGCGTGACTCACAAGGAGTTCCTATTCCACGAGGCAAGAAGACACCAGTCCCACAAGAACCATTTCTTGAACCGGATGCATTAAGGAAAACCGCCCTCATATCAGAACCGGCTTGTTGGTTGCTCTGTTGTTGTTGCTGCTGCTGCTGCTGCTGCTGCCGAGTATACCAGGGATTATTAGAGTCTGAGGCAGCTTTTTGGCCATTGTCACTGAAGACTCTCCCTTTGCTTTGATAATGTTTAACCCTTGGCTTTTGTTCCATTTGCTTCTGAGCTTGCTCTTGTTTAAGCCTGTGAAACTGTTATTTATAAGAAGTTAAATTAGTGCAATTTCATTACTAGTAAATATGTCTAGAAGAAAAAAACTAATGATATTCCTGCTTACTTGGATAGCTCTTATTTGATCATCAACAAGGGTTCGCTTTGATTGAAATCTAGCATATGGGTTACTCCTGGATACTTGGATTGACGTGGATGTGCTTATAAATCTCTCACCTTGGTTATATCTGGCTGTTTCTTCATTTATCTTCATCTTTTCAAAATTCCCAACCACAGGTGTCAATGGCGGAGATGGCCCCCTAGATGGCCCAACAGGACTATAAAGGTTCGACCAAAGCTGTGACCAGAGCGTTGATTCTGGTGAACCAGCCAAACCCCAGGACTAAAAAATCAAAAGAAAAAAAAAGATAAGTTTTTTTAACTAAAACTTTGAAGCCAAAATCGAATCTGTCATGACCAAGAAGAGGAAATACCTTTTCATGTTTATCTTCATCTTGAAGCATGTATTGAGCCATCTGGCGAGTCAACTCACCACTGTAATCGTCTTCCTCTTCACTGCTCTCTGTTGAGCTTGAACTCAGCTCAGAGCCAATAGGTGAACTAAACTCAGACCAGGAATCAGTTGAGCCAAATACATAATAAGAGGCGTTTTGGTTGATGGGTTTGTTGCTGCTACTGTTGCTGTTATCCAGTGAGAGACCATGAAGGTCTTGGGGAGTGAAAAACTGAGAAGGAAGCAATAACTCAGAGTTGTTTAGGTCAACGGCCATCATAAATGAATTACAAGTTTTGCCCTGTGAAATGGAACAGAAATCAGGTGAGGGGGTTGATGATTTGCTATTATGGATGTTGCTGGTTCGACAAGATACAATTATTATCTGGTGTCTCACGCATGTACTCAGAGAAAAAAAAAAGGGTAGAAAAGAAAAAAGGGGGGAAAGATAGGCAAAGAGAGAATCCTGTGGGACTTCTTAACTGATGTTATAAGGAACGGAAGTATGGAAGAGGATTTTTTTTAAGACAAAAACAGATTAAAAAAACCAAGACAACTTAGACATGACGAGTAAAGGACATGGGCACCAGGTCTAAGACTTCTCACAGTGTGTTTTTTGTGTTGTGTCTGTGCTATGTGGGCCCTAGTAGGTTGGACCGTACATTTGTCCAGCCATGTGATTGCAAACTCACCTGCCATTTGTTAGGGAGTTGCAGTTTGGTAAATTACCAAATTTGAGTAGTCTAGTCAGGGATGTTCACATGGTTTATGCAAAACTAATTGAGTTGTTAAACAGGTACAAATTTGGGTTTAATTAGGGGGCCAAGGGGCTTGTTGTTTCCTCAAACAAAAGAAAGGTTAATGTGGTTGACTGATGATTGCTCTTCTTCTGTCTTGACATTTAAAAGTATGAACACAATCATTTATTCCTTTGTTATCTACAACAAAGGCAAAGCATTGTTGAAAAGTTTGCCATTAACAAAGACCAGATAAGTTGGAGGTGGTTTATTTTGTGGACTTCTTTTCGATCTTTGGTTAGCTATTGAGCATTTATTTGTTCTTTTTCCTTTTTTTTTTGGGTGGGGGTTTAAGGTTTAGCTATTAGTCAACAAAACCTGCTGATTAATGGATTAGATGAGAATGAATAGACTGCATTGTTTTTAGATTTTGATCGGACAGGTTTGGCACTAAATTTTGGAGTTAGCTGAAATGGTAATTGAAAAATGATTGGAAAGAAAAAGAAACTATAAGTTATTTTGGAAAATCTACTTTAGCTTCCAGATCTTGTTGATATGCTGTCCAAACCTCCCTGCACATTTCTTTTCGATAAAATCTTCTCTGGAAACACAAGAAAGATCTCAAAGCAGATGCTCAAGTTAAGTGATTTGGCCTCAACTATGCCAACTTCATCTTATATAGCCTGATAGTCTTCAACTGGGTTTTTTTTTCAAGAGTTGAGGGGCTTGCCCAATGGATTAGGTGAGAATGAATGGATTGCATCGGCTTTAGATTTTGGTTGGACAAGTTTGGCACTAAACTTTGAAGTTAGCTGGAATGGTAATTGAAAAATGATTGGAAAGAAAAAGAAACTATAAGTTATTTTGGAAAATCCACTTTAGCTTCTAAATCTTACTAATATGCTGTCCAAACCTCTTTCCACATTTCTTTTCGATAAAATCTTCTTTGAAAACACAGAAAAGATCTCAAAACAGGTGCTCAAGTTAAATGATTCGGCCTCAACTATGCCAACTTCATCTTATTCAGCCCTATAGTATTCAGATGAGCTTTTTTTTCAAGAGTTGGGGGGTTTGCCTAATGGATTCAGGGAGAATGAATGGACTGCATCGATTTTAGATTTTGGTCGAACAGGTTTGGCACTAAATTTTGGAGTTAGTTGGAATGGTAATTGAAAAATGATTGAAAAGAAAAAGAAACTATAAGTTATTTTGAAAAATTCACTTTAGCTTCCAGATCTTGCTGATATGCTGTCAAAACCTCCGGCGCATTTCTTTTTGATAAAATTTTCCCTGGAAACACAGAAAAGATCTCAAAGTAGGTGCTCAAGTGAAGTGATTCGGCTTCAACTATGCCAACTTCATCTTATTCAACCTTATAGTTTTCAACTGGGTTCTTTTTTCAAGAGTTGGGGGGCTTGTCCAATGGATTAGGTAAGAATGAATGGACTGCATCGATTTTAGATTTTGGTTAGACAGGTTTGGCACTAAATTTTAGAGTTAGCTGGAATGGTAATTGAAAAATGATTGGAAAGAAAAAAAACTATAAATTATTCTGAAAAATCCACTTTAGCTTCCAGATCTTGCTGATATGCTATCCAAACCTCCCTGAACATTTCTTTTCGATAAAATCTTTTCTGGAAACACAAAAAATATCTCAAAGCAGGTGCTCAAGTTAAGTGATTCGGCCTAAACTATGCCAACTTCATCTTATTCAGCCCTATAGTCTTCAGTTGGGCTCTTTTTTCAAGAGTTGGGGGGCTTGCCCAATGGATTAGGTGAGAATGAATGGACTGCTTCGGTTTTAGATTTTGGTTGGACAGGTTTGGCACTAAATTTTAGAGTTAACTGGAATGGTAATTGAAAAATGATTGGAAAGAAAAAGAAACTATAAGTTATTCTAGAAAACCCATTTTAGCTTCCAGATCTTGCTGATATGCTATCCAAACCTCCTTGCACATTTCTTTTCGATAAAATCTTCTCTAGAAACATAGAAAAGATCTCAAAGCAAGTGCTCAAGTTAAATGATTTGGCCTAAACTATGCCAACTTCATCTTATTCAACCTTATAATCTTCAGCTGGGCTCTTTTTTCAAGAGTTGGTGGGCTTGCCCAGATTATAGACTCAAGACCAACACTTGGAGTTTTCTTGGGCCAAAATCTACGGCCTAAACCCAAACTTCTCCCATAAATGGTTTGTCATTTTTTCACCAGAAGGATGTGGGATTTCAATAAAAGAGATCCAAATTCCTCTTTTAAGAAGATGACATTTACTGCATTAGTATAGGTATGATAGCATAAACTTCACTATCATAATCTAAGTTTATCATGTTGTTCAAAACAAATATGTTTTGCAATAAATATGGAATGAGCTGAATGTCGGTTGGGGGCTTTATTTGGCAGTGCATGGTTCATGACTACTTTTGCTCTCTATCTCTAGAAAGCCTACATGAGTTTAGAGTTTAACAAGATGTCAGCTAAAATTTTATTACGCAAGTATACATATCGAATAGAAAGTATATTAGCAAGTAGAGTGTCGATCCCATAGAGAATTGATCTAAAATTTTACGAAGTACTAAAATTAAAACAATTTAGTTTTATTCAAATAATTAAAATGTGAATTCTAATTGAACTAAAAATTACTCAACTAAAATTAATTTAATTAAAAATTAAAACAACAAGATAATTGGGCAAACAACAAATCAAACAAGCATAGGATTACAATATCCCTCACATTTCATCTAAATCTTATCTTTTTTCCTTAACTTATTTCAATGGTTTGAATTGCTAACCTAGATTCTTAAATTATTTATAAAGGTCTCCCGACTTATCTTATAAAAATATCTATTTTAACTAAAACACTATATCCGTATGTGAATTGAAATTAAAACAGACTCATTAAGTTTAGGCTTTTTAATCTGGCTACATATGACCTATAGGTATATCCTTATCCTATACGCAAATCAATTAATATGATCATATGCTATCCCAATTTTAGTCTACACTAAACTCCCTTTTCCAAGTTTGTTTAGATTCCTAAATCAATTTAATTGGTGGCTAAGCAATTAAAAGCATTAAGAACAAATTGAAATAAACAATTCAAATCCCATTAAAGATAAGTAAGAAAGAGGTTAAAAGTTAGATTACATGTGAGTTCAATTGCAATCCTAGAAAAATAATTTAGCTCATAATATCTAATAAAAACAATATCCAAAGAAATTTAGCCATGAATCCAAGTTAAAGAAAAGAAAGAAAACTAATAGTTAGAGCTTTGTGATCTTGATTCTCCCTCCAATTTTTTTGTTTTCTTACTTTGTTCTTAGCTTCAAATCTCCAGAGGAGTTGCTTGCTACCTCTTCCTCAAAATCTCTGAAAAAGGTCCCTTAAATAGGTTCCAAATAACCTAATTTCTAAAATCCCGTCAACTTCTTTTATGTTTGGAAAGTCACCCAGCACTGCGGCGCTACTTCTCCAGCGTTGCAGCGTTGAGCTCTCTGAAAATTTGTATGTGTTGTATATGTGCTTCCTTTCATCCACGCTGTAGCCTTGTTCTCCCCACGCTGTGGCAGTCTATCAATTTCAAACGTGAATTTAACTATGATATGATTCGAACTGAGCAAAGTGGTAAACATATAATTTTTAGCCTTGTCTCTTACTTTTCAATGGATCAAGAATCACGTCAATTGGACTCTTGTATTGAAAGTTATACTCCAAATACCGCATCATGTTTAGTCCATACGTACTACTGCAGTGCTTCGACTTTGACAAATATTTTGACCACCATACATTCAAAACTAGGTGAATTAGCCTACATAAACATTGTAGCCCTTTTTCTCATAATTCTAGTAGTTTAAGAATCACCTCATTTGGAGTTTTTTAGAGAGAGATATGATCAAAAAACCGAAACATATATGAATTAAGTCATTACCATACTTATACTGGTTTTCATCAAATGAGTCTTTTTCATCAATTTCTTACAAAAGTCATAAGAAAAATTAGTAATAACTACTCTTAAAGTAATTTAAAACAAAACAACATAAAATTTAACAAAAATAACTTAAATTAATCACTTAACAAGTAATCAAAACTTAAATTAGAAAAACACCTAAAATACTAAAATCTGAATCTAAAATCTCAAAGATCTAGCTACTTAAGCCCCAAAATGTATTAAAATAACTCAATATAATAGAGTTATCATCATATAAATAAAAACGAACTTTTTTTTTTCTTAATACAGAGGCATGGTTTACGCAAGTATGATTAAATGGACTCAACCAAAGAAAATCCTTCAAGTTTCAGCTAAGGATTATTGGTGTGGAGAGAAGACACGAGCTGAACAAATGACCTTTCACCTAGAGTCAACCTATATCATCTCTAGACTCTAAGCATCAAGGATAAGGGTGTGGTGAGAGCGTGGAACTTATGACTTTAAGCTGGGAGCATATATTCTCATTGACGTGAGATTAACATGGTTCATTTCTAGAAGGCTGACATCCTCTCTTACTTCAATAAGAGCTTACTATCTTTAGAGACTCTGATATCAACTCTCTCATTTCAAATCAGTCTAATACTAATTCATGTGAGATATTAACTCATGTAGTGACCTGTGATATTATTCTTCTTCTGTTCTTGATTACAAAACTGAACTGGGAATTACAAAAGCATATCAAAGTTTACCGGTTTTCTAATTCTCTGATGCAAAAGTTTAACATGGAGAATTTTCCCTGTATTATTATACTATTCGACTAAGAATAGTTGAATAGTTTAGTAGTACAATCCTGGCAGCAATCCCACGTGACACAGCTTGGCAAGGCAATCCAACGATCCTGACTATGTGCTTTGGCCTTCACAAAAAGGAAACCGTAGAAAAGAATAAAAAAAGGCCGTTCAACTAATTTAAGCAGAAGCATCTAAAAAGCTTCCTCCTGTTTCCTCAAAACTGTTGCTTGGAATTCAAAGCCTTGTTCCTCTGCTTAGATTTTTGTTACTCTTTCTGGGCTCGAATTCTTAAGGAGAAAAGATGACAAAAGAAAGGAAAATTGGTGTAGCCGTGGATTTCTCCAAGGGAAGCAAATTAGCTCTCCAATGGGCCGTTGACAATCTGCTAGACAAAGGTGATACCCTGTATCTCATCCATGTCAAGCCCCAACAGAGTGACGAGTCCCGCAACCTTCTTTGGTCAACCACCGGCTCACGTAAGTGACTGTACAGTTTGATTCAATTTTTGATCAAGTTTTATGCTATGATCATTTGTATTCCACGATGTTTGATTAAATTATATTAAATTGTAGCTCTGATTCCTTTGGCGGAGTTTCGTGAGGAGGAGGTGATGCAGAAGTACGAGGTTAACCTTGATCCTGAGGTTCTGGACTTGGTTGATACTGCTTCCAGGCAGAAGCAGGTTTCCCCTGGCAGTTCAATGTGTATTTCTCCTTCTGTTCTTTGTCATTATTTCTTGATCTTTGATCTGATTTTGCTCTCGTATCCATTACAGGTGACTATTGTGGCAAAGATTTACTGGGGTGATGCCAGAGACAGAATCTGTGAAGCTGTTGGAGACTTGAAGCTTGACTGTTTGGTCATGGGTAGCCGAGGACTTGGCACCATCCAAAGGTAAATCTTTATGATCTTCCTGGTAATTAAAGGGTGGATTGTTTTGGTTCAAGATCATTCATAGATAAATAACCCCATCGAGCTGTTTTTTATTCATGTTACATTGAATTTGATATTCCGATTTTTATTTGAAATAGGGTACTGATTGGGAGTGTGAGCAACTATGTGATGGTACATGCTACTTGCCCTGTAACAATCGTCAAGGATCCCAGTGCTCATGGTTTTTGACAAGAAAGTCTGATTTAGTTTTCTGCAAAGTATTGTATCTTCGAAAATAATCGGTGATCTCATCTCTCTTTGGGGATACATGGATATCTTGATTGTTAAGGTGTGCTGAGATCTTGAGAGTGCTTTCTGCTTTCCAAAGCTGTTTCCATGATTAAACCTTGTATCTACATGGTTTATAGTTGCATTAAATAACAAACTTTTGCTTCCTATTATTTTATTTATTGGCCTAGTGAACAATCTACCTATTGAACTCTCTGTATGTTCCAAGTCTTTGTTATAGACAGCAATCCTCCATTACTAGAGAAAAATTATATATATTTCAACTACAGAATGGTTAAAGTATATATCCACGTATGCAACTTATTGGGATTCAAACTTCTTTCTATCAAAGAAACCCTGCAAATTAGCATGATCCATGACTTTACTGCCTATGAAGTTTGAACTCCTGGAATCGAATTAACCTGTTGGATTTTGGCAGCTTCAATTTTCTTTACCCGATATCATGAATGAAATATTCCCTCTGTGGGAGATCAATCATGGGAGATGGCATCCCGCTCTTGATTCTGAAGCAGCTTTTGTGGCTTCATAGCGAGCTCTAACGTAGTTTACGTGTTTCCCCTTTGGAGGCCTCCATACATTGGCTACATCGATATTTTGCATCTTTAAAATCCATTTGCATAAAATGGGAAACCTCTCTTCGGTGACCAACTCCAGGCCCACTACTTCTCCCACCACTTCAAACCAGAAAGCTATAACAAATGCAGCAATGTCCAAGTATCCAATGCTATCACCTCCAAAGAAGACCTTCCCGTGGAGCTCATTCTCAAGCATTTTCAGCTGCTGACAACATTCTTCCACCGCGTGCTCTCGTTCCTTCCCTTCAGCCAAGTTAGCCTTCTTAGCTCTGGGCTGGATCTGCAAACAAGAATAAAAGAACATCAGAAACAATATAGAACTCTATGGCATATAAATCAAATTCAATATCACTTTTCATCTATGAACTTAGCCCAGAAGCGGGCCGTGGCTCTTTCATAAGGATCCTAAGGCAAAAGAGGGTTATTTTTCCAGGTCTCATCTATGTACTCAAGAATGACAGGTGACTCCAAGATTGGTTTTCCATTGTGCACAAGCACAAGGATTTTCTTACTGACAGGATTGAGTTCCAGAAGCAACTTGCTCTTGCTTGAAAGGTTTTCTTCAATGTATTCGAAAGGAATTCCTTTCAGCTTAAGGGCTAGCTCAATTCTTCGATTATAAGCACTTGCCCACATGCCAAATAACTTCACTTCTTCTGCCATCTCAGTTCTGCTCCATGGAGAAATGAGGAGCAAATGGTTACTTTGTCTAGTTTCCTATGAACTTGTTGCATTTCATTAAATGAAAGATTTCTTGGCCTACAAGGCCGTGAAATTCGTCAGCTAGTGGGTTATTGGCAAAGCCTTTTCCTCCTTAATCCCTGAAAGGACCACAAGATTGTCAACTTCCATGAATGATTGAACTTAATTTAACCCATAAATATAAAACTCTTAATGACTGCTTTAATAGTTTATTTATATAGAATCCATTATATATAGTAAATTATAAAAGATAAAGTTTATTTACTTCATTGTTTTAATTTATTTTTTACACGACACTTTATGATTTTCTATTTCCCTATTAATATCAGCATAAAAACTTTGATAGTACATTGGTTAAGGATAAGGAGGACTAAAATTAGATTATAATGCCTGCTTGGTCCTAATTAATAATTAATTAGACATTGGGTTTATATAATAACCATTTTGACAACTTGCAAATTTTTTCTAATGTTTTTATTTTATTCTAATGATTCCATAACATGATTTTAACCTAAAAATAGTTTATGGCTGCATGCATTATATGATATTGCACATCATACATATGATACAAATATAATTGTTAAAATCTATATAACAATTCAAGTCAATCACTACTACTAACTTAAGTTTAAACTTTGAAGATCATACGATTTAGATCCTCATAGTACTTATCATGAATTATAAGTTAAATATGATATTATAAGAAACTTAAAATTAGTCAAATTTTAACTTTGGGCATAATTTGTTTTTGGTACAACTTTAGGGATAATTTCAAAAAAAAAATTGCAATTTCAGGAGGAATTAGGGTCACAATTAAACCATATTAGAAAAATAATTGAAGGATTTTCTTTTAATTCATAAAATTCAATCTTTTTTTTGGAATAAGAGAGTCAACACAAATGAAAGTAAAACACTTTATTTGATTAAAGTAAGTTAATTTTTAATATAAAAAATACCCAAAAAAAAAAGTCATGTTTTATTAAAAGGCTCATGTATTCTTTTTCCGACCGTCTTCTCATTCCCTGCCCTCCTCCGGTAGTTTTGTGGAATCTCACAGGGAGCAAAACCCAGCAAAGCAATACTCTAAAAGCCCCAAATTTCCTTCTTTTGAGCCTTTTTAAGGCTTCCCTTCTGCCCACTTGAATCAGTTTGTGAGCTTTGTTGTTAAACTTGGGTTAAAAAAAAATTGCAAACTTTGACCTTTTCTAAAGTTGCACTCCACTGTATTGTAAATTCATATAAACAGCCCACATGTTTACCAACGATCAAAGGCAGGGAGACAGAACTGGAAAGTATGGAACTCCAAGGCTGCAATATCTGCAGGTAACCTTTAGAGACATACAGAGGATGTACAGCTTTCAACTAGAACGGCATGTTCAGAAGTGTGTCGTTTGTAAAATTTGCAACGCTACAAAAATAACTGCGGATGTCAAGTGGGCCAGAAAAAAGCCCTTGTTATTTCTGTGATTATTGCTATGCGCTTCTTCACTGGAACAATGAGTCTCTTCTATATGGCGAATTTTCTGTGTATGATAATGAGCATGATTAGATATCGAATGTTTCAAAAAAAAATAATATTGGGTATCTGTATTTAGACACCAAGATTTCTGGGTATAAAATTTCATGTTAAAGAGCATATGTGGGAGCAATTTATTAATACTTGTTTTTTCCCATTTCACTTTAGGAACTGGTGAGTCAGTTTCAGAACACAACTGATGAAGGTATGCTGCATTATTTATAATAACTTCTTTCCTGCATTGATTATGTTGCCAATAATCTTGCCCTTCGTTAAAGAATATGAATTTCGTTAACTATCTTAACTTTCCTTCTGGTCATCTCTGTGTAGTGCAGACTAATTCATATTATCATAAGAGTTAGTACAATTTTTTTCAGACAGTGTTACATGCTTGGGGAGTTCGGTTTAATTGCTTTTCTGAAATGAGTGGTAGCCAAATCAGATATTTTTGGCTTCTGTATGCTTGTTTAATAGATTATTTAGAATGTACTTACATATAATGTCTGTAATCTTTGACATGTCAGGTTTAGCGTCTTGCACCTTGGTAATGTTGTATTAAAATTTGACCCCTACTAATCCATTAGATCCTCTGTTTCACAGCGCCTTAACTGATGGGGTACTTGTGTTCACAGAAACAAAAGAGAAGATTGCCGCCAATTTGGCAAACTTTGCTTATGATCCATATAACTATTCATTCTTGCGCCAGGTTCAAAACCCAATGTTTTATGAAATAATTTGTCCTCAATGAGTAATGTCTTTCATTTACTTTTCTACCACACTAACATCTTACTTTCCAAACAGCTCAATGTTTTGGAACTCTTCCTAGACTGCATAACAGAACCAAATGAGAAGCTTGCGGAATTTGGAATTGGAGGTATCTGCAATTCTTGTGTAGGTAAGTCTGGGCTTTTAATTCTTAAATTATGGTTTTCTATCTTCTTATTGATGATAACCTTTGCATTATGAGTACATTTTTTTCCTTTGCAGATCCAGCAAATGCTGCTATTATCACTCAGTGTGATGGAATCCCTCTTGTCATTCAGTGTTTATCAAGCCCAGTCAGAAATACAGTGAGTGGAAAAACTCCTGTTCTTGGTTATCTCTTTTTTTTTTCCCCTAATTGTTTCGAGTTCCTAGAGATAGAACTTGGCATGGTGCATTGTACTAAATTCATTATAAAACCTCTCTCTCACTCCCTCCCTCTCTAAGTTTGTATGTAAGACAGAACTTGGGAGTTTAACTTATGGTGCACATCTAACTAGCATCTAGTTTTTACTTACTGGGATTGATTCATCTCAGGAAAAAAATATAGTATTAGGGAACTTCACAAGGCCTACTTATATTGGGGAGCTACATCCATTATGATCTTTACCTGCTGTGAATTAATGCAGGAATTTGATGTATTAAAGCTGCTTGTGTTTAACTATGCTACATCTGAGAAACATAATAATTGACTGTCAGGTGAATTACGCTCTGGGGGCCCTTTATTATCTTTGTAACAAGTCTAACAGGGAGGAGATTCTAAAGCCTGAAGTGGTTGATGTCATTGAGAGGTATGCTGCAGCTCAGACTGTAACTGTAAGCTTCAGTAATCTGGCCAAGGCATTTCTGGACAAGCATGTCTCTAAGGACAAGTAAGGTATGAATCCCACTTTTCAGCTATGATGTTTAATGGTGTGGATTGATTTCTTCCTGAACAGAGTATATTGAAAATCTGATTTTGAAGTGCATGGCAACTAGAGCTTTCTGGTCTGTCTCCCCTTTATACTTTTTCACTCAATTGAACTACTTTCCATCAGCACTGGATTAGATTAGGCTGTGTTCTGTCACTTCTTGAAAAGCTTGAAGAATTTATCACCATTTTTATCATGTTCTCGTCAACCTCTTGGAACTTAGGATTTTTAGAAATAATCTTGTGTTTCAGAAACGAATCAGCAACATTGTACCAAAGAGATGTTTTTTTTATTCAAATCTGTTACTTTAAAAGTCAGGACCCATCAAAATGGCAGCCATAACCAAAATAATACTCTTAGTTATGAATTTATAATGAACCAGTTATCAGAGACCAAACATTAGTTATATGTACGCAGGTCACAGCTGCAGAACTTACAGAAGACGTATACTGGTGCTCTTATTCATCAGGAAAGAGGCATACAGCATTCAGTTTACCCAGAATGTATGCTAGTATCTGCAAGACCAGGCAAAGTTGGTATACCACTATTCCGTGTATCAATGGTGGGTAGCTGTTTAACAATGTAACTATTTAGGTGGAATTACTGGGATCTTTATCTGCCTGTCATCAGGACATCAGAAGAGTTTGAAGTTTATGATTATTGCAGCTTCTTCCTAAGTGGCAACCATAAAACTAAACATCAGACCACAAAAAGCTTTGCTCAAAGGCCAGAACCAACCAAATATTCATTCGAGTTTTAGGAAAGGAAACCCGATTGACCCTGTATGCATCTGACAAACAAGGTGCCATTATTACAAGATTTTGTGAAATTTGATCTGAGGTGCATGTATCCTTACATTTGATATGTTAAACTTTTTTTTTTTATTGAAAGTTAACTCTGATTCATTTCATGGTAGGATAAACCTTAAACTTACAAAAGACAGGCAGTAAACTTAGAGGGATTCAGCCGAGTTACAAACCCTGGAATGGCTTACAAAAATACAACCGTCAGAAACCCTGTGAAGCTATACAGAATTCACAAAACCTTATCCACAACCTCGAAAGTTATACAAATTAGGTATTCCTCAACAAGTCAAATCTAGAGAAGTAAGAATGACAAACATTGCCTGCAGGCCTGTTTCCTCTTCTTACCTCTCCACATGCCCTATGAAATAAGCAGAATCGAGATCTATTACTGTTCAGCACTTCCAATCATCATAACAACAATAATCTGTATGAAGCAAGAAAGAGCATTTTACCATATCCACCCAAGTTCCCAGTAACCTAGGATCGTCAAGGATAAATGCACAGCAACTCATTGGATCTGTCAACACCTAGTTTATTATTGACAATTTGGAGGTTTTTTGCATGAGTTAAGCTGTTGCTGGTTATTTCTTGATTATATACCATAATCATATAAACGTACTGGCTATAATGCACATGAAAACATATTAACATTTTCATCAGCATGCACTTGCGCGTTTGACTTTGATTTAATAGCATGTCTCTTTTTTTTCAAAAAGTTAATTTCAGCCATACAAAAATTATTTAAAAACTGCAAAACATAAAAATCACAGGCAGTTATGCAGAGAGAGAGAGAGAGAGAGAGAGATTTTCAAGGAAATAAAGGGGAAGAGAGAAAATCAAGGACCATCAGACCTGATTTTCTCTTACCTCTATGGTTTCCACTTTGACTAATCCTGCAAAACACTTTTCAATCTTGTTTTTACTTTCTTTTATTTCCTCAAATGTTTATGTGCTTCCAACTTAAAATTGCTATTATATCTTCTTTCTTACCATTCGTAAACCAGCATGGATATCATACACAAACGTTTATGCCTTGATCAATACTCATTCAACCCTTTGGTCACGGCATTGACGCAGACCTCTTGCATTCTTGCCATCTCCCATTTCTTCCACCTTCTCCTCAAGCCTGTGGGACAACCAGGACCAGTTGCACAAGTTCTAGTAAGAAAAACTTTCCTCTCTAGAAAAAACAAAATGCAGGATTAAGTTGTTACAACATGATCTCTCAGGCTAGACATTTTATGTGGTTTTATCTCTTATGTATCAGGCTGGAGTAGTCTTAGGCCCCTCGGTATTGTGCCGTATTCATCACATTAGGGAATTCTTCATTCAGCCTACTTCTGCGGATTATTATCAGTTTTTCTCATACTTGTTTGAGATTATATTTATGTTCTTAATCGGTTTGGAGACAGATATATCTTTTTCAAAGTGCAACTTGTATGTAGCAAGCATTATTGCTTATAGTGGTTTGATCTTAAATAGCATCCTTGGAGCAGCTTTGAGCCCACTTTTCATCAAACTACTGAGAATCCCTGACAAGAAGATACAATTTGCCACCATTATCATGATGATCCTAGCGAACTCAGCGTCTCTTGTTGTGATTCGATTAGTAGCTGATTTGAAGCTCGACACTTCAGATGTAGGAAGATTGGCAGTAACTTCTTCTTTGGTCAATGAAATGTCATGTGTTCTTGTAGCTTCTCTATATCAGGCTGTGGGTTCATGGAAAAGTTTTTCTTTCTTATTTCTCACCTTTCTTGTAACCGGATCGCTTATTGGTTTGAACCAATACTTGGCCTTATGGATTAACAAGTCGGACAGGGAAAACAAATACGTGGGCAATGCGTATGTTTCATTTATTTTTTTCCTGATTCTGGTGTTATCGTTTATTGTTGAAACATGTGGATATAGCAGCACGATTTCTTGTTTCTTTGTTGGTTTGATGTTCCCTAGAAAAGGAAAAACATGTAGGACACTGTTGTCCAAACTCAGTTATCTTGTTCACAACTTCTTACTTCCAATTTATTTCGGATACATTGGGTTTCAGTTTGATGTAAATTATTTGAACAGTATTGCCACCATCATTACGGTTGTTGTTATGATCCTGTTGAACTTCGGGGGCAAACTTGTCAGCACCTTAGCAGCTTGCCATTACTTAAAGATCCCACTGAATGAAGGATTCATGTTTTCTTTGATACTCAGCTTGAAGGGCCATTTCGATCTTCAACTTATCAATGTAGAACCAAACTCCAGGGTTAGTTTTTCTTTACCTGATAGTATGATCTTATTCCTAAACTCTCAAAAGAAACAAAGTGTTGCCTTTTGGTAGGCTTATTCTCTGTTTTCGTCACTATTGCTGCAGTTATGGTGGAATCCGTATGTCCATAGTGTGCTGTTGTCCACAGTGGTGCTTGACACGGTTATTGGAGGGATCATAGTTGCTTTTACAGTAAAAAGAGAAGAAAAATCCTTATCTCACAAACAAACCTCACTTGAATTGCATGACCCGGAGTCTGAACTCCGAATTCTGGCTTGCACCTATGGCTCAAGGCATTCTTCAGGAGCACTCGGACTAATTTCAGCTTTGGGTGGATCAAAAAGAGCAATAGTCACCCCTTACTTGATGCACCTGGTTGAACTCCCGGAGAAGCGTAAAACCAATCTGATGTACCACCAACTTGCTGAGGGTGATCAATACAGTGACGAAGATGACTATGGTGGAGATGATGTTGTTGAGATAAATGATGCTGTGGACACCTTTACCTCTGAGACAAAAATTTTGATCAACATTGTTAAGGCTGTGTCATCTTTTGCATCCTTGTACGAGGATGTGTGTACTGGTGCTGAGGACAGGCGTATATCTATTATATTCCTTCCATTTCACAAGCATCAACGCATTGATGGCAATATGGAGATTGACAAGGAAGGGATTAGAGCAACTAACCAGAGGGTTCTGCGCCATGCTCCGTGCTCGGTTGGGATTCTTGTGGACCGAACAGTAACTGGATTCCAGCAACCACATGGCTCCAACTCGGTGCAACATGTAGCAACTTTGTTCTTTGGAGGCCCCGATGATAGAGAGGCATTGGCATTTTCCAAGTGGATAAGCAGCCATCCACAAGTTAACTTGACACTCATCAGATTCCTCCCAGTAAGAGAACAGATTTCAGGAAGTCATAACCAGGACAATGAGTTCTTATTGACTGTGTCAACTAGCAATTCTCAGACTGTGATAGACAATGCCTCTCTGGTAGAATTCTATAACAGGTTACATTAACAAAAACATTCAGCTCTCCAGTCCCCCCTCCGTGATTATTTGCTTACAAATTTTGACAGTGAAACCTTATTTTTTTTTCCCATGATCAGGTATATTGCTTCAGGTAAAGCTAATTACACAGAGAAGCATGTTAGCAATGGGGGAGAAACTGTGGCAGCTTTAACAGAATTAAGAAAAGTGTATTCCTTAATTATAGTTGGAAAGGGTGGAAGAGGGAATTCATCGATAACAACTTTGAGTGACTGGGAGGAGTGTCCAGAGCTCGGAACAGTAGGGGATTTTTTGGCTTCTACAGATTTCAACACCAATGCTTCAATTCTAGTCATTCAAAAACATCAGCACACCACTGATGATAGCTTCAGAGGTGACCACTGAATGTAATTGTATTTCCAAGTTAGTCATGAAAGTTTTAGCTGTTCTCATAGGTGTTAGTTTAATTCAAATGTAGGGGTGAGGATAAAGCACATATTCAAAGATGTAGAAATTCATGCGGAACATCTTACATAGTTCCTTCAGGTTCACTTCCTATCCATGAAAAATATACTAATATAACTACAAAGAAAGAAATTGTCTGCACTTAGTCAGCAAACTTCTCTGCAGCAGAACTTTCCTGAAGGTACATTATTATCACTTCAATTAAGGAAACTTTATCAAACGATGTAACTGTAATCTCAACAAGTTGAAGGAATACATCAGACGTTTAAAGGGACATAATCTTAGCCGTAGTAGAGGAGTTCAACAGGACTTTATTTGGAAGCAGATTTTAAGGATTCTCTGCGGAGTCTAATCAAATCATGATGTTTCTCCTTTGGGATCCGGCATTCATTGACAGCTTCGATTTTTATGAGCTTTTCAATCCATTCAGATATAATTGGAAATTTCTCTGTCGTTAGTGCTTGTACTCCTGAAGCCTCTCCTGCACTATAAAACCAGAATAAAACATGTGCAACAATGTCCAGGTATCCAATACTCTGACCTGCAAAAAATTCCTTCCCCTTGAGCTCATTCTCCAGAATTTTCAGCTGCTGATGCACTTCTTCAACACCCTGCTCTTGTTCCTTTCCTGTGCTATGAGAAACCTTCGCTGCTGTTGGTAAGAGCTGCAGACAGAAAGCCATATACATCTGGTAAACTGATTGTTCAAAACGAAATGATAGAAGAGTGGAATGTAATATACACCTTCTCGTCTATGAATTTAGCCCAGAAACGAGCCATGGCTCTCTCATAGGGATCCTGAGGCAAAATAGGATTGTTTGTCCAAGTCTCATCAAGGTACTCAAGAATGACTAATGATTCTGCAAGTGGTTTTTCCTTATGCACAAGAAGAGGGACTTTCTTATGGATGGGATTATACTTGAGAAGCGAAGGACTCTTATTGGATAAGTCTTCTTCAATATATTCATAGGGTATTCCTTTGAGTTTCAGGGCTAGCTCAACTCTGCGGCTGAAAGGGCTTGCCCACATGCCAAATAGCTTCACTTCTTCGGCCATAGTTCTTCTTGGGTTTTGAAAGGCTATGGGATAAATGATTTACTGTTGTTCCCCCTTAGTTGATAACATGTTACTCTTATAGCTTAATAGACCTCTAGCATAAACCGATTGCTGCATGGTTCTAAACCTGAGCCATCCAAAAATTTGGCTGTTCAGCTCCTAGGATTGCACGATGTTGCCTAACAACCATCGGAGACTAGATACATGACACCATTAATATATTTTTCCTATACTCTCTAGGTGATACCATTTGTATATTTATGTTTTGCCTAGGAATACACACATACATCCGAGGGTAATCTATTAACTAGATGGCCGTGAAATTAATCAGAAAATTGCTTACACTTATGTGTGAGGAAGTTATGTTTTGGCTTGTCCCAAATTGAATCGCTATAACCTAAAACCAACCACATAACGACTCATGAGGTTAATTAGGAATAATCCATCAAGCATCATAAGTTCATTTTCTAACGCCAAAGGAACCAAAGAAATGTGGAATCCTTTTTCTTAGTCTGGAATACCGTAATCTTGCTGATGTTAACAATCAGCAACCTTTATTTAGCTTGAATTTCTGTCTATGGAAAGTTTTACAATTTAGGAAGTTGCTTGCGGCAGTAAAAACTGCTGTACTGCATCAGCAAATTGCTCTGCAGCTCAGCTGACAAGAGGTACATAAAATTTCAACTTGAATAAAACAAGTCTTATTCTCTTCTATAAGCAGAATATATAATAAACAATAGCATATATAGAACCTCATGATCTCAATCCTGACAGGGTCATTCTAAAGGCTTTACTTAGATGCAGATTTTAAGGCTTCCAGGCGGGTTCTGATGTACTCAAGATGTTTCTCTTTTGGGATCCGGCATTCCTTGACAGCATCAATTTCAAATACCTTTCCAATCCATCCGAATATAATCGGAAATTTCTCTTGTGTGAACATATCAACTCCCAAAGCCTCCTGCACGTTTCCAAACCAGAATACTAAAACACTGGCAACAATATCCAGATATCCGATGCTAGGACCTGAAAAATATTCCTTCCCTTGGAGCTCACTCTCTAGCAGTTTCAGCTGCTCAGTTATTTCATCAATGACCTGCTCTTTTTCCTTCCCTGAGGCGAAACTAACCTTCCTGGCTGTCATCAAAAGCTGCAAACAAATGACCCCAAAAACTGATTATATTCATTGTTTCAACAGAGAATTAAGAAAAGGTCGAGCTCAATATACCTTTTCATCTATAAACTTAGCCCAGAAGCGAGCCATGGCTCTGTCATAAGGATCTTGAGGCAAAATAGGATTGTTTGTCCAGGTCTCATCGATGTACTCCATAATGACTAATGATTCTGCTATTGGTTTTCCATTGTGGACAAGGACAGGAATTTTCTGATGAACCGGGTTATACTTGAGAAGCAAACAACTCTTGCTGGATAGGTCTTCTTCAACGTATTGGAATGGTATTCCTTTAAGTTTCAGGGCTAGTTCAACCCTGCGGCTATAAGGGCTTGCCCACATGCCAAAGAGCTTCACTTCATCTTCATCAGCCATAGTTTGTTGCAGTTTTGAAGTGAAATTAGCTAAAACTGGTTTCCTTCTTATAGCTGTCGCAATTCCAACATTCCTTTCACATGAAGAGATCATCACATGAATCTCAGCCATCCAAAAAGCTGACAGTTCAACCACTAGAACCTCAGCCCCTTGAATTGCACAATGCAGTCTAAGTGGATGACATTGAAAAACAGGAAAAATTAATAGCACTATTTGTATACTCTATTTTTGGATTAGCTTGGACAATATCAGCCATTTCTAAATTTATATTATATACATATGTCTACTTGAAGTCTATATTTCCATGATTGGCGGCACAATTAACGATGGTGGCTGTGGCTCATTGGCTCCGATTCTTTGGTTGGAGGCTGAGGCTGATTTCTAGTTAGCTCTCAATTTTCAATGTAATCCTGATATAGTTTAAACTAACTCCACAAACCAATTTATATATTTGTCAATCTTTTAACAATAAATAAAAATCAACTTTATGTTCGGATCACTCAACTTATAATCAATATTCAACTAATATATGCAATTTGTACTTTCTTTGGACATCGCATAAAAAGCTAACTTAATGTAATTTGTATTTGAGATAACTATAATTATTCAAGTTTAACACAACTGCTCTAGTAACTTTTCTAACCTAATGTGAGATGGGGTGTAAAAACTCACTCACTCACTCAAATCCTTCTCCGGATTAAGACCTCACTAACATAATGTCAAAACTCACAACAACTTAGTACATTCTTTAATAACAATTCAAGTTTAAATACTATTGACCTAATAATTTTTCGAACCTAAATCACGTGATTTTAAAAGCTTAAACTCAATTAATTAATAGTAATTGATTTAAATCTTACATAAATCTTAACAATTACATTCATATATGATACAATATATATCGTATAAACTATATTATAACATAATTTAAAAAAACTGTAATTATAGTTTGATCTAACTTGTATACTTGCTTTTCTACTATAAAGCTTCCGTTGTACTAGTACATTTGTCTTATCCCAAACCAATAATCCAAAACCTACCAATCAACTACTCATTCTTTAAGTCTATGCAAAATAATGAAAATACAATAAAGCATCGTCAGTAAATAAAATTTCAGTAATATTAACAAGGTCGTTGTAGTATAGTGGTAAGTATTCCCGCCTGTCACGCGGGTGACCCGGGTTCGATCCCCGGCAACGGCGGTATGTTTTTCCTTTTCTTAATAGCTGCAAATACCTTTCCGTGGCGGGAAATCCACGCTAACAGAAAAACAAACCCAAAAGTTTTCTCTACTTTTTCTTCAATTCTTATTTCAATCTGCAAAGCAACCGTCAGTTCCCATTCCAAAACCCCCCAATTTGCTACCCCGAGAACATGTTTCCGCTTAAATTTCTCTTTTCTCCTCCACGTTCCTCCGCCCCATTACCGCCGACGACATACACAGTCCGCCGCCGCATGATCAGCAGCACCACCATCCACATAATGGCACTAGACGGGATAGTTAACGTCAACTCACTCTTCACCTTCGCTTTATTCCTTGGCCTTGCATGGTACCCCACCCCCACCCTCATAGACCCCAGCTCCCCCGCCTGTGCCGCTGACTCCAACGTCGCCGAGAATCTCATTGCATGCCACGTGTACTCATTCAGCTCCTTCCTCTTCTCTAGCCTCATTGCATCAGCCATCAAACAAGCCATAAAAATAAGCAAAGATAGCAAAGACGTAACAGGGCATGGAGTTGGCGCCAGTCTTGGGGATGTGAACTTCGTGGCTGAGGGTTGGGATGTTGGTTTCGGGTTTTGGTTCGGTTTTTGGATGTGGGTTTCTGATGATAGCTCTGGTGGCTATGGTTCAGATTAAGTTGGGGACTCTGAGTTGTGGGAGTCTTTACACTTTCGCTGCTATTGGTCCTTTGGTAGTTTTGGTCCCTTTGGCTCTGCTTATCTACATTTCTCTTGTGATTTATGCCTTTACTCGCTAAAAATGAGTATATCTATAAAGACTATGGAATTCTTTGTTCTCCATATTTTGTTTTCATAATTTGGATGATTACATGATTTTGCTTGTCTTGGATTCAATGCCACCAGAGATGAATTTTTGCTACTAATCAAACATTTCAGCTATAAAACTATGTACTTTAACATGGAAATTCAACTACTTTAATTATATATAAACTATCAAGTGTCTCTGATGTCTCTTACTAATTTATTTCCAAGTTTGACACTCCTGGGATGATCTACTGGTTTAGATGCATACTTTGGTAATATTTTAAGTGAGTGGTGTTGGGACTAGTGCACTGTGCTTGGTTTTCTTAATTAAAACTGCACAGCTTTGAGCAGTTGGAGTTGCAATGTCTGCAGATACCCTTTTTGCTAATATAGTAATCAGAGAACTTAGAAATCAGGGTAAATAAATGCAATTATCCCCATCAAGTCAATTTATTTTTCAATTCTAAGGCTGATGTATTTAGTCTTAAAAAGCTGTCCACGGGAAATGGCTCATTTCCTGGATTCTGCTTCTCTTATGCTAGTAAAGGCCCATGTGCCAGTAACTTGAGACAGAAACTTTGTCTAATAACTTGTTCAAACTTATCCTCAAGATTTCTAGATTGATGTGATGCATCTTGATTCAAAAGGTTTTTGCTAGGGGAAATTTGGGTCAAAGTTTTCATCTGATCAAGTAAGTCTCTCAGTTTCATGGCAAACGATCAGATTACTGCAATCTTCAGGTTCCATTATTTCTGCTGCATAATTGCAATTCTTTCTGCATTTTCTTTCATCTCAATCTTTTTTTGGTGTCATTTTTCCAGCAATTGCTATTCCATAAACCAAATAATGATGCAGAATCCAAAGGAAGACATTGACTTACTTACATTCCCTTCTGCCTGGAATCATCTTTCTTTCCCTTCTGAACCTCCTCCTAAACTTCTTAAAATTGCCCTTTTTGTCAAGAAATGGCCTCATAAGTCTCATGCAGGAGGGCTTGAAAGGCATGCCTTGACTCTACACCTTGCCCTTGCAAAAAGGGGCCATGAGCTGCACATTTTCACTACTTCTTCACCAAATTCCTCCTTCCAAGATATCCAATTAGCAATTTATTTTTCATCTTTCAAAGCCAACAGGTGCTGGTTATTCTGGAGCAGGCCGTCGTCTGGAAGCAGTTTCAAACTCAAAATTCCACCAGAAGACCATTTGATGTGATCCACACAGAAAGCGTTGGACTGTTGCATACTCGAGCAAAGAACCTGACAAATCTAGCTGTTACATGGCATGGGATTGCATATGAAACCATTCATTCGGATATCATTCAAGAGCTTCTGCGGACTCCTGAAGAACAGCAGGCTTATGTGCTGACTGAAAGAGCTAAGAAGGTTGTTGAAGAGGTGAGATTTTTTCCAAGATATTCTCACCATGTTGCTACGAGTGACCATGCCGGAGATGTCCTGAAACGGATTTACATGATCCCAGAAGAAAGAGTCCACATCATTCTTAATGGAGTAGATCAGGAGATCTTCAAACCTGATTTCTCTCAAGGAAATGATTTTAAAGGGAAGTTTGGCATCTCAAAAAGTAGATCTTTGATTTTGGGAATGGCTGGGAGGTTGGTAAAAGATAAAGGGCACCCTTTAATTTTTGAAGCTTTGAAGCAAATATTTATGGAAAATGAAAAATTCCGAGAAACTGTTATTGTTCTTGTTGCTGGTGATGGGCCTTGGGGTGCTAGATACAGAGATCTTGGGGCCAACATACTTGTTTTGGGTCCATTGGAACAAGCTCAATTAGCAAATTTCTATAATGCAATAGATATTTTCGTGAATCCAACTCTCCGAGCTCAGGGACTAGATCATACTTTGTTAGAAGCAATACTCACTGGGAAACCAGTAATAGCTACAAGACTTGCCAGCATCACGGGGTCAGTAATTGTCGGACGAGAAATGGGTTACACTTTCCTCCTACTGTTGCCTCCTTGAAAAGGCTCTCTATAGGGTTTGGAATGATGAAGAGAGGTTTTGCAGGAAGAAAGGCAAGGTTGCTAGGGAAAGAGGGTTGCAATTGTTCACTGCCACGAAAATGGCAGCTGCATATGAAAGACTGTTTCTCTGCATATTAAAGGAAAAATATTGCAAATACCAAAATCCGTTTAATTAACCTTGCAATGTTAGTTTGATATTCAAGTTTGTGACAGCATGTGGTGCAAGAATCAATTAGATTATCCTTGAGGCTGTATCTCTTATAAGACTTGGTGAAGTTCTTTGATCTCTATCTCATTGATAGTCCTGACTGTCCAGAGACATGCAAGAAGAGTTGTACAACACATCTTTCGGCACTAGCAGCACCAGATGAAGAAATAAAGTTCCTGTTTAAGAAAGTGGAAAAGAACCCAACTACTTCATTGCCTGAAGCCTGCTATATCCAAGGATTTCCAGGACGAAGGCAAAGGTATCACTAATCACTCCAAGTCTTGATTTTTTAAGGTTGCTGATATGGAGTTAATTTACACATTTTATGGAAAATTTTCAATCAACCTTTTTTAATTTTGAATTTATGTGCTATAATCTCTTTCAACCAGACTTATATGAAGATGGCATGGCACGGACATAGTGCACTTACTATTGGCAGCCAGATGACAGATTACATCTATAGAGTCTTGGTTAATTTAGGAAAGATATGCAAGTCAAATGGTATGCGATAGGCATTACATATTTCATTGAATATATCTTAAGAAACATGGGATATCTCATATCTGCACTTGGAACCATGTGCTTTTGCAGCCAAACATAGCAGAAGAAATAGCTTTCCTGCTCACTGTCACTGCCACTGGAAGCTCTGTTCATGTTCTATTTCCACTTCACTGATATTGGATTTAATTTTATTTTCCTTGAAAAGGGCAATCCTTATGAATGAACAGTCCAAAAGGATACTGCTTGTACTTTTAATTTTTTGTTGTGTAACTTTCATACATAGCAAAGAGACGGCATTTGGATACACAATCTCGAGCATTCATATTGACACTTAAAAGGGAAAGCCTAAATTATCTATTCATTCTCAGCCTTTCACACATTAGGGAGGGAAAAGGAGCATCTAAACATTTTCCACTCTCCTCTGCCTAAGAAAACTTATCCCAGAGCTAAGACTATGATGTAGTGAAGAAATTCTCAAACATCATTTCCAGATAGAATTATGAAAAGGATATCACATTACAGAAAAGATTTGAGATCCCTAGTGGGCTCTGTCAATGTCAGGAACTTATTTATATTTCTTGTCTTCCATGATTATTTGTTTGCTATATGAATTCCTGCAAAATGTCAAGAATAAGGAAGATCATATAATAAACCAAACAGTTAATTCTTCAGAGAAGTTTCTTCATAGAAATATAACAGCTGCCATTTCTTTTGTCTTGGGATAACAAGTACAAATTTCTTCACCAGTCACATTTCATGAGTTTGGCCATTTTCATTTTTGCTGGTTTCTTGGTTAAGTAAGAAAACTAGTTAAATTTTGTAAATGAAAATACCTTGGAAAACTGATGGAGAATCCATATGCACTAGAAGCGCGGGCTCTAATAATAAAGAGAACCTGCAGAAATCCCAAGTCAAGTTTTGAGTCTTAGTACGGTCAAAATTCATATAGTTGCATTGAGGTATCTACTTGCAGCTTCATCTATAACATCAGTACCTTGCCACCAGTTTCCTCTAGAAGCATCCTGTGAATTGTTTCCATTAGGATCATCTTCACCTCCATCTTTCTTAAACTATTCATTCATAAAAGATATAGTACAGTTACTTTAATACATCTGAAAAATAATATTTATAGTATAATAACTTTCATTCATCTATCACAAAGCAGTTTTTGTATCAGAGATCAACCAGTCAGGACTCACAATAGGGTACGACGTAGAAGTCTGAGTACTTGAAGAACGGGAATATATGTCTTGGCCACCATAGTAAAGAGATGAACTTAAATGGCATGGTTCTGCCCTTTCTTCCTGAAAAACAGAGTTCCTCTCCTTGTTGGGTGTGTTATAGGTTGCACCCTCAGCAAGTGGAGCTACATTAAATGGGAAAAACGGAAACAAGAATCAGAAAATAATATTAGAAACTAGTTTTACATTGTCAAATAAGGTAAGAAGTACTAAATTTTTCACCAAAAGACGATAGGATTATTGAAGAATGAGGGAAATCATACTATTAACAGTCCATGAAACACTGCTTCCAGGGAAGCAGCAACACGGAAGTAGTAGTTTAAAGAAAAATGTATAATAGGTCCTCACGTGACTCTTACTGAATACAGAAAAATTCTGAGGATATGCTCCTATTGACACAAAAGTACTTGAGTTGACAAGCAAATAGACTTGGAATTTGTTTTCCCCAATGCTGCACAGTTCAAGCAATATGGAAGGTCTCCACCTGATGGGAGAAATGGACTGAAATTATAAGAATATGAAGTATCCTGATCAATAACCTTGCATTCCATGTCTCCAAGCTGAACCTTCTAAAGGCTGATTTGGCCAAGATTCTAACACCTTAAAGCTTGAGGAGTTCCTCCCTCCCGCCTGAAATTTCAAATAAAGAAAAGTTACCTATCAGACTAGGAACCTGATTAAAGAAAACTCGTCCATGGTTTCCACTAGAAAAATACTTTTCACATACAAAAAAACATGCCATTCCTCTTTTATGCTCTTGTATTCCAGAACAGAAGATTTACATACGATCAGAATGAAGAGGCCTAATAACATAGGAAACAGTCACTCCATCATTAAATCAGAACTAGAACTTTCAGCCTTTGATTGAAATTCTGAATTGCAGAAGATTTTACCATGTGGGACATTTCAGCTTCAGTTCAAGAGTTCCGGCTTAGAAGTCATATTTCAGAGCTATTCAGACGAAAACTAACCTTTTCAAATTTTCCTGAACTTCTTAACCAATACTATATCCAATAATACTAACATAAACAATGAACTAAAACGTCACTTATGAACTAAAGTATGTCCAATCAGCAGAATCAAATACATAAAAAAGAGAAGCAAGAAAGGAAGAGTTTTAAATTTGGATGACAGCAAGAAAAGATATCCATAGTAAATGCAGCCACCAGTATGAAACAGTGTATATACCACGGATGGAGGTGGAAAAATGGAACTGAATATCCCTTTCGACGTTGATGATGATGACTCCTTGGAGCCAAACAGATCAGCAGTGAATGAGGAAGAAGAACCAACTTGCCTCTTACTCTCCATTTTCCTTTTCTTGGTTGTCAAACAAACCGCAGAAGAACTGAATTCCCAAGTAAGAACTAATCAAATTCTGTGTACAGACACTTTATAAGAAAGACCACCCCAGTTGGAAAAATAAAGAAAAACCAGATAAGATTTGCAGAGAAGATACAAAGGGAAAACAGAAGTGCACGTGAAGATCACAGTATATGGGGAGGATGTATCTCAAACTGTCTCAGTAACCATCTAATATATATTAAAAATGCTAAACAAGACGCCATTTGCAGGTGCAGCCCATGTGCCCCATCATCATCATCATCATCATCATAAAAAAGGTGTTCTATGACTATATTTTATGGTAAACTTTTCTCTCTTTCTGCCTTTCTTTTTTTTCTCTCTCTCTCTCTTTTCCTTTTAAAATCAAAGATTTAAAGGAATTTTTCTCTGCAACTTCCTTTCATTCACATTGGTTCTCTGCATATAATGTCAATCTTACTTTTTTCTCAACTAAACATAACGGATAAGTGCCACGAGGGGTCCATTTGGCATCCCAAGTGGCGTACCATTTACTGCCATCTGTCCTCTAATGGATAAATGCACCCTCTCCTGGCTCCATGGGGTCAAAAAAGAAAAAAACCCCTTCAAGTTCACTATATCGTGACCTTTTCCCTTCCTTGGCTAATGATCCTCCATGGGAATGATTTTCTTTAGATATAGCTTCAATGGGGTTTGAGTGAAAGAGAGATTTGGAGAAATCTCTATTCCCTTTGATCCCACAACAAGTTAACTAGATAAGGTTGTTTCCCCACTGAAACCTTTATCTATATGTGCCCCTAACAGTTGACCCTAACCATGTTTTTTAAATATCATAGTTGATACTAAAATACCATTTATATACGTGAAGCTACCTAACTGATCAATTTGTTTGTATTTTGTCATGGAGAAGGTACTAAATGCATGATCAAATACCCTTTACTGATCTCTTTTGCTTTCATTTTTTTGTTGTCTATCACTAAACGGTCAATGGTTCGGTTTTTCCATCAAGAACAGTATACCACTCTCCTATCCCACATTTAAACTTGCCCGAATTCCCACTGCTTTTTTCCAGGAATCGGTTTCCAATCGGGGTTTGATCATGTGAGGTGGGGTTCCAATTCCATATATTAATTATAAGCAACTAGCATCTTGTTTAAGAGCAAAAGTTAATCGGTACTGTTGTTAGTCTAAAATTGTGAATCAATCATTGAGACAAAGTTGGTGTCAGCTCACTCAATTGGATAGTGCTCGTTGACAACGTTTTCCTGGCAAATAACCTAGTAGTTGTGGTCATTTTCTCATGATTTCGCCTTGGCAAGTACGGCTAAGAGTGCATGCTGTGATTCTGTTTGATAATAAGAGCTTGAAATCTTAGGTCGGATCATGCTGAAAAGGATCATTGCCCCATTTGTACTCTCTCCTTACTAGTTTTTAATCCCGTATTTTTTAAGCTACATGAATTTTACTCGGAGTCCGTGGAATACATGCATATCAAATTTGTGAAGCCAATGATGAGTGAGACAAGTTGGCATGTCAAGATGTTATGAAAATTGATCCCATAAGTTCACCAAGATCGGCACCTTTTGTTTGGGAATCCATGATACTAGTGTTAATTACTACTTAATTAGTAGCTTGAAACGTACAAGTTCTGTTTTTGCTTGTACAAGTTTAAAATAATAGTTTCAGAATCCTAATCCTTCCTTTTTCTCCATCTCTTTTTCTGATTTTTTTTTTCTAAAAGCAAGGTTCATAGCAGAAAATGAATCTATGTACAGAGAACTGACTACAATACATGGACAAATTTGGGAAACTCTCAGATTCTCCGGATACGTCGATTAATGAACATAAAAAGACATAATAATTATAATAATAACCTATTGAAAAGGAAAGGGAAAAAGAACGTGAGCGGCAGGATTCGAACCTGCGCGGGCGAAGCCCACATGATTTCTAGTCATGCCCGATAACCACTCCGGCACGCCCACTTTGTTGTTGCGTTTGTCCTCAATTCACTTACTTTCGAGAATAATCAATGTGGTAATCAAAGAGAAATTTTATTCCTTTCTATCTGTTTATTTTACAGCAGTACAAGGATTTTACGGTCATTGGCTGTGTGATGAGATGCTGAAAAGGCATCATGGTTAAGGCAATCTGCTAGGATAAAGGTGGTCAAAAGAAAGAACCAATATCATGCAATCTTATCTATATTATCTTCCACGTGCATCCTCCCTTAAATTATGGACGAAATTAGACAGTGGATCATGCTTCAAGAATCTAATAAAACTACGGTTCTAAGTTGAAAGAACTCCTCAATGTGACTAACAAAATGTGGACTGTTCAAGCTCTGAACAGGAAAATCATATATCTGCAATATAGGTTCTCCAATGGAATAGCTCATTCCTGCTTCCTCTTCGAAAAACATTGCTGTCTTATCCTGTCAGTTTCTATCACACCTACGTGACTGAGATCAATCATTTGAACCCTGAAACCGATGAAGTTTAAATTAAAGGAGGAAATAGTTAGATAAAGCAAATGAGCACAATTCACTCTTATGCAAGTTTTGATCCATTGGTTTATTGCATTCATGGATTGAAAAAACTGCATTACTAGTTCTTTTCCATAAGCTTGATTGCATCAAGTAAGCAATTAACACCATTCAACTAACAAACCCATAAATGAAACATCACATGTTTTGGTTCTCACAAAAACAGATATAGATCAAGATAATCCATGAAAATTAATGCAGCCAAAAACTAAGACAGAGTCATTACAACAGAGTAATTGGCCTAATAAAACATTTAAGAACACATGAAGCACTTGTTCCACAGAGATGATGGGTGATGCCAAACAGATAGTTTCAAGTTGATAGTTTCACAGCTGACTTTTGTAATTAGGTGCTGTTTAAATCCATGGACAAGTTCTTGGATATATAACCCTTTTGTTAATGAAGAACCAAATTACACTAATTCCTTGTTACTAGTTATTGTTATTATTCTTTACCAAAAAAAAAAAGAAAGAAAAATAAAATTGAAAGAGCAAAGGTCACTAGCAAACCTCAGTATTTGCCAAAAATTTCTTCCGGAGGATCATAAGCATGTTTCTCTGGAAAGAGCTCCTCAAAATCTTTCTTGACCTTGTTCCTTAAAAGAGGGTGAGGCAGAAGCCCCTTCAACAAAATCCTAAATGGCAACTCCTCTGGTGGATCTGGAGACTTTATCATGTCCTCGTATATGTTCATCGCATCAGCAGGAGATCCATCCCTCAAGAAGCCCCTAATGATCTCGGTGTACGTCTGAGAATCAGGGAACAGCTCTTCCTTTCTCATACATTCCCATAACTTCATTGCTTCATCCATTTTCTTGCATCTCGCTAATGCAATAATTAAGTCCTTATACAAGTAGACATCAGGTTTATACCAGTCTTGCTTTTGTATCACCAGGAAAACCTGAAATTCAACAAGATACAAATATCAAGCAGAAGATATTATAACTCAGAAGACCTTATGTAGTTCATTAAAGGCTAAAGCTTATTATATAAAACCCCAAAAGACCCATACATTAGAGCTCTCCAAAAAATATCATTTCAATGCACAAAGCTGACTAATTCTCTTTTATCACTAGTAATACAAAAACCCATCAAAATTCTCAAGCTAACTACCAAGAAATCAATGCCCTCCAAAAAATAACATTTTTTTCAAGCATTTGATCAAACAAAACAAAAGCAATCTCATTTCACTCTTTAACTCAATCAAGAACACAGAAATCAAAAGATTAAGAACAACCCAATTGAGTAAACATTAAAAAGAATTAATAGAGTCAAAATGCGAGTACCTTTACCGCGAGAGAAGTCTCCTCTTGACGTTCAAGCTCTGTAAGAACCGCAATCAAATCCATTTTCAATAGCCTTAAAATATGCGTTTTGATAAATCTCTCAACTTTGTCATCATCATCCTTAAATCTCTTTAAACCCAATATTACAAAAAGTGCTTCTTTGCCAATCAGCTTTTTGCCTTTCCAAAGGGGACCCCTTGGCCTCCCATCATGATATTGCTTCAACCCTGAGATAGGTATATGGGAATTTGATTGTACATGTGGGATTCGAGGGTTTACCGGAAATGCGGACCCTGTTATGGGGCTGTTTGCGAGGTTCTGAAGGAGGATTGAAGTTAAAACTGGGCGCTTCGATTTTAAAACGACGCGAATTGCCATTAGAGCCGGAAGAACTCGAGAAAGGGTTTTAGTGGAGAAAAATGCTTCGAAGTCCAAGCCAGTGAGGAACGATGCGCTTCACATTGGGTATTGGGACTGGGCTCAATCTATGAATATTAAAAATTAAAAAATATTAATATATAAATTATATTTTTATAAATACACTTTTAATTTGAAGTCTTCTAATTTCACTCTCTATAAAATTGAAAATAGAATTCAAATACTAATATATAAATTACTTTTTGATAAATCTACTTTAATTTGAAATTTTTTAATTTTATTTTTTATAAAATTGTGAATTCATTAATATCATTAATTATATAAAATTCTAACTAAGTAATATAACAAGTAAAAATTCATGGCATCACTTATCTTAATGCGGGTTCGCCCCTTATGTATATCCCAGCAATAAGTATATTATACATGTTGTTGGTCAAGTAATTCATTTTACATTGTATAAAGAATAATATTTGATGATTACATTCTTCGTAGTCAAGTGTTCTTCAGTAATACAAGGTTTAACATCTGTAACAAGAATACAATCTGTGTTCTTCTGTTAGTCACTTGAGTTCCCTGCTGGTTAATGAATCCCAGATGTTAGTCAGAACTGAAATGCTTCCAACCTTTGTCTTTGAAGCATCGCAAAATTGTCAAAGGAACATCATATCTTTCTATCAGGGCTTCATTATACTACATAAAGATCAACCTGGCTAGAAGGTTCCCCAGGATTTGGGACTTGAATGTGAAATTCATAAAGGAATCATTATTACAAGGCATTGGAGATCGACATGATGACAAGCAGACAAGAACTTAGATCAAACATTTGATCTAAAACCCGGGTATGTATGTACAACAATTGGACTTCTCAGAGTATGCGTGCCATCCGACCAGATCAATGTTGTAGACCAGAGAATGGCTTTTTAAATCTCCTCCACTAACAGTCACATTAAAGGATTTCGTCTCATTCAATGCCTTAAAGGAGAGAATTTCAGGAACCACTGTAACTTCAAGTTTGGGTTTGGAGACACTTCTGCCTTGTAAGTAGAGTTTGCAAGACCAACATTTTTTGCTGTTCTATGGAAAGTAACTGTGAAAGACTTTTTAGTTGGAACTGAAGCTGTCAGTGAAGGATAATTCAGATCCTTAGGTGGTACATTTTCAGAACTTTTAGGACAAGAGCTGTTTTCCCCTGATACTAGTTTGACATTATCTGGACTATATCCCAAGCTGCACATCAATTTTATGTAGTCTTCCTTAAAAGCTTCATATACAAGCCCAGGATGAATGGCTTTAACTGGGTTGATATGTCCAGCACCATAAGCAACTTCACCATCTGGGTTCTTGGATTTATCCGTTGGCCAGGCTACCAGCAGAGGAAAATTTGATGGGATAGAAATATAGACTTAGCAAGACAAATTACTTAACCAAGCCAGCTATATTGAAACAGGGGTGTGATAACAAGAAGATTATACCAGTAGTCACGAGAGCAGATTGGACGGCCGAAGGAGACCGGTCAGAGTGAAATGTTTTAACATATGCGGCTACACCAGCAACATGAGGGCAAGCCATTGAAGTGCCAGACATTACATTATATTTGACATGCCTTTGGTCTCCAGATGTGCCGGTGGGTGGAGCAGCTGGTGAATATGCTCCTAAGATATCCACTCCCGGGGCAGTTATATCTGGCTGTGCAGAATGAAGAGCACTACATGAGCAAAATGCAATAAAGAAAATGTTTGCAGAAAGGAGAGAACTGAGTGTTATTGGAAATGCATACCTTCAGACTATCTGGCGCAATAAAATTTGGCCCAAGTGAAGAGAATTGAGCAACCACAGGAGCGTACAGATCTTCAATGCTTTGACTTTTTAATATTTCTGCCACAGGATTTCTACAATACAAGACATGGAAATCGGATCATTCAACTAAGCATGAAAGGGCTGCAGCACACCCTAAAACACATTGTAAAATGCCACATAATTGGTGGAATTCATGTAGATTCTATTGTTTAAAGCAGCAATAGGTAAGGCCATAACAAAAGAAACATTATCATAGGGATCATTTAGCACAATTGAACCAGCAGCACCAGCATAGTGAGCTTTGAAATTGCCTGCCAATTGATCACACAGTCTAATCTTTCCTTTCACTACACTACTGTCTGCACATGTTTCAAAACACATCCTGTAAGGGAAAACCGCAATAGAACTTTGTGGTTATTTTACTGAATCTTTAAATGGACAGATTGAAATCAAAATGTTTGTCAAGTTGAACCAACCCAGGATTGAAATCGGTACAGCTTCTTGAAACATCACGTCCATATACTATAGGCAGCTTTGTTCCGGTGGAAGTGAAGGGATTAACTGAAAACCCCTGTTTGAACAAAGATAATCACTAGAATATTGAGCAAAGATACATGTTATGATAACTCTCTGCATATATCTGCTAGAATCATAAAGCATATGCACAAGAATACAAAATGTATGGTAATAAAGAAACAAGATTGAGCTCATGATACTTATAGTTAGGGTCTTGCCATTCCCAAGAACAACCTTGTCAATGAATTTTCAATCTGTGGTACTTGCTGCTACAGCAAGCATCCATGGTGCTACACTTGACACCCCAAGTGTTCCTGATGCACCATTATTGCCTGCAGAATTCACGGTAAGTATTCCTTTCTCCATCGCATGAAAAGAACCAATGCCTGCCATATCATCAAAAAAATCAACTGCTTCATTTGCACCTAATGTCACCGTTAAAATATCAACTCCATCAGCAATAGCATCATCAAAAGCTGCCAAGACATCCACTGACTCACACTGGCCATTTTGATTACAGACTTTATATGCAGCAATCCTTGCAGAGGGAACCCCTCCTCTTGCAGTACCTTGTTCAAATCCAAAGAAACGAACATCCTTTACCTTTTACCGGCTGCTGTAGATGCAGAATGGCTTCTATGACCCACCTCATCTCTTGCAGACCCCTCTGAAGATGGTTGTGACTGGTAAAATCGAGCTCCAATAATCTTGCTGCAGGACAAAGCATGCTCAGTAAGATCATAGCATTTTAAGCATCAACACTATGAAATATTTATCACTTAATATGACATGAAAATATAAGATAATTATGCCAGCTTTTTAAGACCCTGAAGGGAATAACCTTACAAAGTGAGAAATACGGGACATTTACTTGTTATAAGTGAAATTGTTGCCACATAAGCAAACACCCTTCCATTTTTTAGGAGCTGGACCAAAACCTTCATCACTGAAGCTTGGTGACTCAGGCTAGATTCCAGTGTCAATGACACCAATAATAACATTACTCTCAAGGGCCGGATTGTGCCTAACAGTATTATTAAAACCCATGAAATCCCAAGAACTTGTTATATGAAGGTGGAGAATTCAGTTAGGAAAGATGGAGACCACTTCTTTCATGCCTGCATACATCATAGCAGTTTTTCCTTAAACAGGCCTTATAATCCATTTTAATAGAAACACTGTACCATTTACAGGCCAGTTCTTTTGCCTCCTCGTCAGTAAGCTTGGCAGCAAATCCATAGAACTCCTTCTGTAACTTCTGATAAAGGAATCCGCACCAGAACTGAAGAGAAAAAAAATTTTGAAAAGATATTTTTAATGGAATGGTCAAGTAAGAGTTAAGACTGATCCCTCAAGCCAGAAACGAAAAATTACCTTTCCTTGATAACTTGTTGAAGTATACTATGATGGTTAGAAGTTGGTAAATATTCTCCCTCAGGAAGTGATCCCATATAAACAATGTAGAACTACATATGATCATTATCTTCATCAACTACAATCACAGGTCACCATTCATCACAGATAAATTCATTGTTAACAACTTTATATAATATTAGAAGATACAAAGAGTACTTGCCTTTCTATCATCGTAGTGGCTGTGGATGAAAGGCTCATGCCAAGCATGAGGATGAAGGAAATGTCAAGAGACAGCTGGAACCTGCAATTGGCCATTGTTTATCTATGCACAATATTGCAGATTGGTTGATGTTTTTTTCGTATGGGATTCAGGACATAGTTCTGGTATTTAATATCCCATATTTCTACCTTGATATCCAACTTATCTTAAGAACCACAGCCAAGTATTAAGAATATATACACTGGATGCTTAAGGGGAATTTATGGCCATTGAAGGAATAAAATGTCCTTCCATATAAGTAAAAGAAAATTGGAAAACTAGATGAATTTCGGTTCTTGTAACAGCTAGCTCTCCATCCAAAGCTAACAAAGGGGCCAAAATCATTGAAGTAATTTCAAAGATCTGCTGCCATAAATGGCCAAAAAATTGCAGGTAAAAAGATATGAAAATTCGTTTCCACAGCAGTCACTTGTGAATGTTCAAATAAAGAATTATTTGATTAATTCCCTTACAACCAAATCCAGTCTTTAACTCTTTTTAACTGTAATAATGCAACACCCTCCTTGAACCATATCAAGTCATTCCCCCTGCTTCCTCTGAGTAGTCATACTTTCCTCCAATTACTACATTTTCATAGGATAAGCACATACTGGAACATTATATTCCAACATAGACCAGTCAGATTTTTATGTCACGGCAAGCAATGAAACAAAAGAGTGAAGAGCAGGCAGCAGATGTGAAATAAAGACATAAATTAATTACAAAGCTATGAAAAATCCATTTAAGGTTCCTTTGTTAATGACAAATCATGGGTTTCGATATATTCTTTATTTGGTATCCTTGTGAATGACAACTCATTTTTGGCTTTACCAAAAGCTTTGTTGTTGAAGATGCTGCCAGAATGGCGGCAAACTTAAAATGCAATAAGAAACACAGCCAAACTAGTTTCGATCACCTTAGCATAAACCCCAATGCAAAAGTAGCTTAAATGGACTAGCATCCAAATCTTGACCCAAAATTAAAACGCCCAACTAGTTCAGATTCCAAGACAATTAGACAAAACTAGTGTGACTTAGATCACCATTTGATGAGAGAAAGAGAAAGTTCTGCATTTAATATAGAATGGACAGACAGGGACAGCCATTTGACAACTTTTTACCGTCATAACTTTGTCATCAACGATGCTACACCAAAAGTGTTTTTTAAGGAGATAGCTGAAGCTGCTAAACTTGTTTCATTCGTACATTCACACAGCGGTAGGACAGAGATGGAAAAGCAAAGACAGAGGCGTTGCCGGGTTGTACTTCTTCCATTGCCATTCCAAGGACACATAAATCCGATGCTTCAGCTTGGATCCGTTCTTCTCTCTAAGGGCTTCTCCATCACAGTTATTCACACTGCTTTCAACTCCCCTGACCCCTCAAACCATCCTGAATTTCATTTCGTATCCATACCTGATAACTTATCTGATCAAGTCATCTCTTCTGGCAATTTAGTACTTCTTATATCAGTTCTTAACGTGAATTGCCAAGTGCCCTTCCAGGAATGTTTGGTTCGGGTAGTGGAACAACAGGACGAACAAGAAGAGATTGCTTGCATTATCTATGATGAGTTAATGTACTTCTCTGAAGCAGCAGCAAAGAATGTGAAGCTGCCAAGTATTATCTTTCGCACCACCAGTGTTTCAACATATATTTCTCGTAGTGCGATTCTCCAACTCAAAGCAGAAGGTATTCTTAGTTTGCAAGGTACGTATGTTTAGCTACAGCATCTGCAACTGTCAGTGGATTTTGAATGAAAGATTCCACTATACCATATTACCAACTTGAATTCCTAGTGTGCTTAGTTCTGTTTATTGCCTGGTACTATTTTCTCCAGCCATGCTGCATTTGGGAGGGAGAACCAATATTTTGAGGCTCCCGATCTAGACCGTAGCATGTTTGATCCTGGATTAGAATCACTGATACTAGAAAATTAAATTTTTTAACATAGGTTCAACATCGCAAGACTTGGTGCCTGGGCTTCATCCCCTCAGATTCAGGGATTTGCCTGTTTCCAAATTCGGAATTCCAGAAAATTTCCTGCAGTTGATATCTAAGATGAGCAAGACAAGAACATCTTCAGCTGTTATCTGGAACACTATTGATGTCCTTGAACAGTCATCACTTCGAAAGCTCCAAAAACAATGCCAAGTTCCAATATTTCCTATCGGTCCTTTGCACAAGGTCTCTCCAGCCTCCTCAAGCAGCTTGCTAAAGGAGGACACCGGCTGCATTACATGGCTTGACAAGCAAATTAAGAACTCAGTTCTGTATATAAGCTTGGGGAGTGTAGCATCCATAGACAAGAACGAGTTAGTTGAAATGGCTTGGGGTTTAGCCAACAGCAAGCAGCCATTCTTGTGGGTTGTTAGGCCTGGGTTAGTTGACGATCTGGAATGGAACAAGCTGTTGCCTGAGGGTTTCATAGAAACTGTAGGAGAAAATGGCTGTATTGTAAAATGGGCACCCCAAAAGGAGGTATTAGCACATGGTGCTGTGGGAGGGTTTTGGACCCATTGCGGTTGGAATTCAACACTGGAAAGCATATCAGAAGGGGTTCCAATGATCTGCAGACCATGTTTTGCCGATCAGAGGGTCAATGCAAGGTTTGTCAGTCACGAATGGAGGGCCGGTTTACAATTGGAGAATATGTTTGAGAGAGGAGAGATAGAGAGAGATATCAGGAGCCTAATGGCGGAAAAAGAAGGGGAAGAAATGAGGCAGAGGGCTTGGAATTTGAAGGAGATGGTTGAACTCTGCTTAAGAGAAGGTGGCTCTTCCTACGTTTCCTTGAATCAGTTAGTCGAGCTAATCACATCATTTTGATCACAGAGCTGGCATTGTTATGGCCACAGCTAGCATCCTTCTGAGCTAAAATCTAGAGATGAAATTTTTGGAAACTTGTAAAAGGTTCCTAAATTACAACTTGTGGGCGAACAAAAGTTAAACATATCCGCCCAATTAGCAGCATTTACTTGCATATCCAGGCACATTAACACCATAGCTTGGGAGAATTTGGCTGGTTTTAATAAGCCAAAAGCAATTAATCAGGAAATTGGCCAGCCCTTTCAACAAATATTATCAGCAATACAAATATCATTCACCAAATCCAATAAAGAAGGTCTTGTTATATCTTATGGTAAAAATACGAGGTTACAAGAGTGCAGAGGAAGATATATCCATGCACATACAATTAGTCCATAACAGTCACATCTTAAGATTGTGCTCAAGTTAATTTGGTGTACGGTAGCAATTATACATCCTGCAATAACTGCATTCATTTGCCTACACAAGTCTGTGTTCTAAGTTAACACAACCACATGAGGAAATTGTAAATACACCACTTAGCAGTGGAGAAGAGAGCTAAAATGCATGGCACAGATACTCTTCTTGAGCAACAATATGTCCCTGGAGTAATTCTGCAGCGTAGATGCAAAAGAGAAAAATGGTTACATTGACAGTGACACTAATTACCATATCATTGGAAAAACTAGGGGGAAAAAAAGGAAATATCAATGCATTCCAAAAACCAAAGACAGATATAAACCAAACAATGAAAAGAGATAGTATTTGTGTGGCAAAAGGCTTTACAGTTTTAAACAGGGCACATAACCCAAGAAGCAAGGAAACTAATTGGCTCAAGTATGGAGATAATTAGCAGCCATCATCAGCTCTAGAGTCAGTTCAGGTTCAATGTAGAACTCAGTCTCTTTACCCCTGACCAAATAGTAACATTCGGATCAATGTAAAGGAAAATAGGGAGAGCTCATAAACATAACTCGAAGTTCAAATATATAAAAACAGAGGTGATTGAAGCAATCAACGAAAGCAAACAAGTCCATTCATAGGTCTTGCAGAACAAAATAAGTTGGTTAGTTTGAGAAATTGTATAGTTATTAAAAGTTCATACTGCATAAAAATGGCAAATAGCACTGATTAGTG